CATAATATACTATTATCTACCCTTATTGCATAATATTGTTTTATTTTCGTTAATAATGATAAACATTATTGATCATTATTCACGATTTTAAGCATCGGTGATTGGTCGATTTCAATATTTACTGTGATTTGAACCAATCCGGTTTTAAATTGAGAGAAGGCGACTATAATAATATTTGAAATTGGTAAAAAGTGAGGTTAACCATTTGACAAATTTCAGATTTTATTTATATACTTTTGAAAATTATATAATTACCTATCTACTTATTGGAGTAGATAAAGTATAGTATTTCAATCAAGATTATGCGCAATATCTCTTGTATTAATATACTATTAATTGTTTACTATTATAGCCCTTTTGAGAACAAAAATATATTTTTTTAAAGATTACACTGGCCAACAAAATAAAAAAAATTGTTTGCAACAGGGATTAAAATTCGGTATTATATTTTGTTAATCAAATACTTTAACCGAGGATCATTAGTAACGTAGGTATAGGTCCTAATTAAACTAAAAAAAATAAATTATACACATTTATAAATTTGGCAAAATTACTGTTGACCAGTGTTATTTTTAAGTTTGACTATAAAACTTATTTTATTAATAGAGCAGCATTAATAGTAGATTATTAGGAGAAAAAGTAAGTATTTTTGTGCTGAGCTCAAAAAAAAGCAAAGGCAAAGCAAATGAGCGAAGCACAAAAAACCGCCTCCTCTTAAAAAAAGTTTTATTACGATTTTATAATTTATAAAATACCTCTTTTTAAGTAACTTTTGAAAATATAAAACTGGTTTTAATAATTTAAATATAAATTAAAATGATTTGTATAATATGCATGTAGGACTATTTATAGTGTGTTTAACATCAGTTTTATTAAAAATTTGTTTTATAAAACAAATTTTTAATAAAACTGATGTTAAACACACTTGGTATACAAAAAATTATATTTTGAACAAACTTAATATATTTTTGGTGTTAATTGCAACATTTAATCTAGACACAAATTTGACTTATTTCATATTTACCTCGTAAGCAGTTACCAAACAATAATTTTTTTTGCTAGTTTGGCGTTAGTTGGAATTTTATATAATGGTTTGTTAAAAACAATAAAAAAATCTTTTGGACCTTATAACCTAATATGTTTAGATACTATGTTTTATCTTGGCAGGGCAGTATAACACAGGTGTTTTAAAATTATTATTTAATAAAATAAATAAATTTATATTTAGATACGGTGAACTTATGTTGGTCAAGTTTATTTCCCTTCTAATCTAAACCTACTATGAAGGAAGTATTTTCAAGGCTTAAGGATTTAATGTTTCTAGAATTTTTATTATTAATACATTATTTAATAAAAGGGTAACTTGGAAAATAATAAGCATAAAAATATCTTTGTATAAGTACCTACTAATTTAAAAAAAATATTCCAATATTATTAACTTAAGATGGAATGGATAAGGAGCTCGAAGTTGTAGTAGTGCTTAATTTTTATGATGCTGTTTTATACGAATTAAGGTATTGTTAACAACCAACAATGTCCACAAAAAAAACAATAAAAAATCTCGAAAAACGCGTTTTGCTTATTGGTTTAAAGTGCGAGGTTAAGCTGGTTTTTAAGTTTAATTACTTGCATGAAATGCTATTGTTGTCTATTTCCGCTTTAAATGTCACCAGGCGACTATTGAGAAAGAAAATACGGACACAATTTTGTGTATGAAAACTTTGGTCAGTAAAACCGATTTTTACTGCATTTAATCGTCATTGACGTAATTTATAACTTATGTACATATGTATGAATTCATACTTTAAAGTAAACAAAAACAAAGATTTTTAAGGTCAATGATAAACGTTCCTTCCTTAAGCAAAAAGCGAAAAACCGCTAAGGTGAAAAGTGATCTCACTTAAAGATCAGTTTACTATCACTTTTGAATTTACTGGTTTTGCCCTTAGATGAATTCATTACTTAACCTTCGAGCCAAGGTTAATTTTCAAATTACTTTTTATACCTTTTTATCTTTTCCATTGAATGTTATTATCATTGGATGCCCTTGTAATGCAAGTAATGTAATTACAGAAAAATCGAGGTTTATCTGTATTGTATTTTTATCTAAAACTATTCGAGTATCGTAAATTATGTTATTTAAGAAACAAAACTATTTTTAAATGCCAAATGTTTTTACCGGATATCGAAAAAATAGGTATTGTAGAAAAATATGGTCTAAATATGTTTATATATACAGTATGTCTCAGTATCTTGGAATCATATGGAAAACTTTTTTATTATTAATTTTAGGAAAAAAAGTTATTCTTTATAAAAAGTTCTGCATGGTGTAAAACTTAAAATGCAACCCACAAATATTATTTTTTTTTAGTCGTATACGGGGTATGTCAAAAAATATGAATTTGGCTCAAGAGTAAAGTACCTTTATATTTGACAATATCGAAAATTGTTATAAAGAAAAGTTAATCAGAACTAAAAACTACGTTCAAATATGTAATTACATCCATTTACATTAAAAAAAAATATTTTTTCTTTTTTGTCTACAATATCAATGCAAATTTAACTGTAACATGTAATCTAGGATTCACTGATAAACAAATGATTTGTTGATATTCTAAAACTTTTTGGCCTGCTAGATCCCCTGACTTAACTTAAGGTTTTCATGTTTTTTGTAATCATAACAGATAAATGTTCATTTAAAATAGAAAGATTAGTAAAAATTAACAAAACCTAATTTTTTAATGTAAATGTATGAAATTGCATATTTAAACGTAGTTTTTAGTTCTGATTAACTTTTCTTTATAACAATTTTTGATATTGTCAAATATAAAGGTACTTTACTCTTGCGCCAAATTCATATTTTTTGACATACCTCGTATACGACTAAAAAAAATTAATATTTGTGGGTTGAATTTTAAGTTTTACACCATGCAGAACTTTTTATGAAGAATAACTTTTTTTCCTAAAATTAATAATAAAAAAGTTTTCCATATGATTCCAAGATACTGAGACATACTGTATATACAAACCTATCAAAAGCACAATTAATATTTTTTATTTAACACCCATTAAATTTCTTAACTTTAACTGCTATGTAAAATTTTACTTCTCCCACTAGTGGTAGAAATAGCATTTCTCCCACAGGCTGAAGTTAAATTTGCAAAAAAGTGAGGTTAAAACTAATTGACAGCAGTCAGATAAAATATCAAATGAAATTGTGGTTGTTGAATAAAATAATGTGTGCGACTATTGGTCAAAACAGATTATTTTCACTTTCTCCCACTAGTCGCACAATATACTATTAATATACGCCATACCACGCGATTTTAAATATTTTGATTTTTTTTAAATTAAAGAAAAAATTAAGTTATTTAAAATAACATTTATAAATGTACTAAAAAAATTCACTCATATTTTGGAAATGGACTGATTTGTCTAAAATGGGACACCCGGTATACTTATTTTAAGTATACATATATTATAACAAAGGCATTTCTATTGTAGTCCAGACAAATATATTAAAAGTACATTTATTAAATGTATTTAACAAGAATAGGTGCTTGGAAACCATTTTCAAGGTCACCTTATATTATTGAATATTAATGATAACCCCAACACAGCTAATTGCAAGTTTAAAGAAATGTTAACATTCTTAATTAAATTAAATTCTTTTTAATAATGTATGTACAGGGTAAAATCTTTATTTGAACAGATAGGTATTAAAAAATCTGGCATGGTTTAAAATAGGTATTTGTTTTATAAGCTTTTCACAAGTGAAATATAATGTTTTTCTACGACCCTTCTATTTTTTATGTCACTTTACATTCGAGTTTTGCCTTGCCAATGCATTGCAAAGAAAACATTCATTTTCTAAGCAACGATGCCATTACCTAATATGACTTTTACATAGTGGTCGTAAAAAAAATATTTTTTTTTACAAAAATTAAAAACCAAAAAGCATTGGTAAAATTGATATAATAGATATAAGTAACATTGTTTTTTTTCCTGTATATTTTTGAATATTTGAAGAACGTTTTTTATTCTAATTTGAAAATTATATAATTTGTATATTAATATTTTAACGTAAAAATCATAGTTGCCATGAATAAAGAACTCACGTCCTAAAATAACCATGTTTCTATTATTAATTTTTAACAAAACGCCATGCTTATTTTAGGGTAAAAGTTTTTTATCGATGGCAACACTGAATTTAGCATCATTTTCGGGTCAGTTATTAACAAAACACTTAAAACAATTATATACAAACTATAAAACTTATATTTTTTAAACCAGAAGAAAAACTTTATTTAAATATCCAAAAATATACAGGGTGTTTCATTGACAAAAACAATCTAAATGTTATTTTATTAAATTTTTTGTTTTCTAAAATTTTGTCAAATAAAACTACTTTTTTGTACCATGCAAGCAGAATTTTATTTTTTTTTCAATATATCTTCTAATAAAGATTTTAAGGGGTGTCCCATTTATAAGAAAACACCCTGTACATACGTATGCCAAAAGATATGAAAAGCACCTAAAAATATCTAGTTTTTTACAATTTATCCAAAAAGATTGATGTTCACGGATATCTCAATATGTGGGGTTACAGAGGAAAACACCATTTATTTATCATTTTAGAAATTTTTTTTATTTCAAACCACTAAAATATGCTACACATTATTTTATTATTGTCTATGGTTAATTTCCAATTTCGATTTTTCTGAAAATTTTGAACTGATTTTGTTCAGTTTGTGTTCAAAAAATTTTATCAAGAATTAAACTTTCTAAGAAATGTAAAATATTTTTTTTTCATCTTTGTAACCTTATCCATGAACATAATGTATATTATATTTTTTACATTTGCAATAGTGCACTCTGTTTCTATGCAAAACGAGAGTCAATACTACCCTTTAAAATTTCCTATTTATTTTTTTAATAGTTTTAAAAATATGAACAAAAAACTATGTCCAGATCTTTAATACCTATTTTAATTGTTACAGGGCATGGCATACACCCTTGAGGAACGCCAAGCTTTGGGCATCCACGGCCTACTCCCCCCAGCCGTTAAAACCCAAGAGGAACAAGTGAAACACTGCAAAATGTGTTTGGACAGGCTCACCGACGACTTGGACAAATACATTTACCTCATGGCACTCTTGGACCGAAACGAGAAATTGTTCTTCAGATTCGTTGCTGAGAATGTAACCGATATTATGCCCTTGGTGTACACACCCACAGTCGGTTTGGCTTGCCAAAAATTCGGTTTGGTCTACAGAAGACCCAGAGGAATGTTCATCACCATTCACGATAAGGGACATGTGTATGAGATGCTCAGAAACTGGTAAGATATTATTTTGGAGTTTGACATTTTTTAAAATGGACGATAGCCCTACTAAAACGATTATAAATAAAAAAAATAAACTAAAAAAAACAAAACAAAGAAAATATCAAAGCAATCTTAACCCAAATTGAGAAACTCAAAAACATAAATTCGCTTTTTAAAACTTTAAAATATAATATAATATAATATATATTATGTCTGAAATTTAAAGCTATATTTATATGGATGGATAAAAACATAAAGTTCATTTTTTTATGTGGACTGCGGCAACGTTGCAAATTTGGTTGGTAAATACGGAACCAAAATTGGTTGCATTGATTAAATCAAACTAAACTAGTTATAAATGTAATTGTGGTTATGTTTAAATTTTTGTAGGTTACATTGAACGGTTGTCAAGTTGAGTTGTTAAAATTCGCAGTTAAAAATGCAATTAATTTGGCTTTGGAGATGAGTAAAATCATATAAAAAAGTAGTTAAATATAGGTGACTAAGGCCCAGGAGAGACAAAGTATTGCTACCGGATAATATTCTTCGCTTTGAAAAGAATTTATATAAAATAAATTAAAATTTTATGTGAACACACGTGAATGTTGTCCAATCATTGGACTCCAATGCTGTTAAGTAGGAGCTTCACAGAATATAAATATTTCGCCTTTGTTCGGTCGACTCTCAACGATGTAGTAGATTGACGCGGTTTGAGCGTGGATTTTAATTTACTATTTATGCTTAGTATCATTGATTGATTTTTTACTTTTTATTGTGTAGAACTGTAGTCACAGTTGGTCTCAGGACTGATTTCAACAAAAAATATAACATTTTTAAAACAAACATTTTTTAAAGGTAGTTAAGTATGTACTACATAGTTAAAATCCCATTAAAATTAAAATCTTTTCGAGAAATTTAATTAAATGGAATTTTTATTTAAAATGAAAACCCTCAAATTTAATGTCAATAGCTATTATGTTTCAATCTTATATTTGGGCTCAGAAACTTTTATTAAAGGGGGATAGTTTAAAGAAAATCACATTTTGCTACAAATCATGGCTTATGGGATATTTAATTAAAGGTATTTTGATCTAGATTAATTATTGCAAATTAATATATTAAATATTTCAATAATTATTATTAACTGTAGGTCTTGAATACTAACTTTATTCCTATAATTAAAAAAAAACAACTTACAATAAATCTTTAAATTAATTAAATATGCTGGCTATTAAATGCGTAATTAGGTTTTTTGTTTAAATTAAACCTTAAAAAAAAACTAGGGTCATTTGACTGTCTTCGATAAATTCAGGCACATGACGAATAATATGGATTTTAGGTGTATATGATATTCCTATTTCATCCAAATTATCTTTAAAATTTAAAAAAATTTCAACAGTTTTTAACCACTTCATTGAAACTTATAACTATAGGAATAGTGGAACATAATAATAATAATAATAATAATAATAATAATAATATCTTTATTTACGGTTAAACCATTACAAAATATGGGTTCAATTTTAATTACAAAAATTACATATAATTACTACTAAACAAATTGTTGACATTACTTTTAAACTTGGTTAGAGAGTTACAGAAGAGATCCACAACATACTTATTCGCCACTGCACACACTCTATCAATAGGCATGGATTGCCCGTAGTTGGTATTATGGGTTTTTATATAGAATAAACTGTATTGTCTAGTATGCCGTATAGGTACATGGAAGTTAATTCTGCTTAGCAATGCACTACAGTTTATAGAATTATTGAGGAGTTTATATAAAAACACTAGTTGGGCTTTTTCCCTCCTGACGGACAATGGATCTAGACCCAATAAGTGCCTTATCTGAAAATACAATCTATTTGAAAACAATTGTTGACAACAAAGCAATAAACCAAACATTTTGATGCTGACAGCTTGACAGAAACCAAATCAAGTGACCCTAAATAAAATCCATAGCCTACTTAGCTTAAATTTATATTCAAATAGTAAAGAACTAATGTCATAAGACGTTATTTTGTCGCACGAGTTTTGTAATTGACGAGTGCGACAAAAGGTCTTATGACATGAGTTCTTTCTGCTATTTTATATATTTTGCAATATTTTTAAAAATACCTTAAATTTAATTTGGTAGAATTTTACTTTAGATAGTTGGTATCACAGTCATTGGTTTGACAGTTAATGTCAAAATCGATTCGCCATGCCGTCCTTAATTTACTTATTTACAATAAGCGGCTGTTAATGTTAAAGAAGAAAAAAGGATTTTTTTTGGTGCTAAACTAAATTTATTGCTAGAAAAGTCTCGTGAGTACTAGAAATATTAAAAAATATTATAACCAATATTATGCTGTTTAATGTATAGCCAACCTATAAAATCAAAATTTTGGGTGGGATAAAGTATCATTACAGCACCGAAAGATGTGTTATAATGAAGTCATTATGAACGCAAAATAGATAAACGAATTTAACACATTATTATTGACATCCCAAATTTGGAGGATATCAATTTAAAGAAAAAATAGAAGTATACAAGATTTTTATTTTAATGTTATTTTAACTAGTACACTAGTACCTTTCAAAAAATGTTTGTTCAAAAATGTTTTTTTCGTTAAAATTGGTCCTGAGACCAACTGTGTAGTAAAACGGTTTCCTGAAGATGAAACCCAAACTAATTTATAATCTCACTGTGAACCCAATAATTTAGAACTTTGTGTTCTTTTTAGGCCTGAAACCGATGTTCGCGCAATCGTAGTAACCGACGGTGAACGTATCTTGGGTCTGGGCGACTTGGGGGCCTGCGGTATGGGTATCCCGGTTGGTAAACTTTCTCTGTACACCGCATTGGCCGGTATCAAACCACACCAGTGCTTGCCGATTACATTGGACGTTGGAACCAACAATCAGACTTTGTTGGACGATCCATTGTACATTGGTTTGAGACACAAGCGTATTCAAGGAGATAAATACGACGACTTTATCGAGGAGTTTATGGCTGCCGTTGTGCAAAGGTTCGGGCAGAATTGTTTGATTCAGTTCGAAGATTTCGGAAACTCCAACGCCTTCAGATTGTTGGATAAGTACAGGGATAATTACTGTACTTTCAACGACGACATCCAAGGTACCGCCAGTGTTGCCGTATCCGGATTGCTATCCTCTCTCCGTATCACCAAAAAGAAGCTGTCCGATAACGTGATGGTGTTCCAAGGTGCCGGCGAAGCAAACCTGGGTATTGCCGGTCTGTGCGTCATGGCCATGGTAGCCGAAGGCACGCCCGAAAAAGAGGCGCGATCGAAAATCTGGATGGTGGACTCCAAAGGTCTGATCGTGAAGAACAGACCCGAAGGCGGCATTTCCGGGCACAAGGCTCACTACGCGCACGAGCACGCGCCAATCAAAACCCTTGCCGAGGTGGTGAAAACCATCAAACCCTCGATGCTCATCGGCGCCGCCGCCATCGGTGGGGCCTTCACCAAGGAAATTCTCGAGGAGATGGCCAAAAACAACGAACGCCCCGTCATTTTCGCGCTAAGCAACCCCACCAGCAAGGCCGAGTGCACCGCCGAGGATGCCTACAAGCACACCAAAGGAAAGGCTATCTTCGCCAGCGGCAGCCCCTTCAAACCTGTCACCTTGGACGGCAATACTTTCCACCCGGGTCAAGGAAACAACTCGTACATTTTCCCCGGTATTAGTTTGGCTGTTATCTGCGCCGGTATCAAAACTATCGGGGAGGAAGTTTTCCTTATCGCAGCTGAAGCTTTGGCCAACTTGGTTTCTCAAGATGATTTGAACAAAGGCGCCATCTACCCACCTCTGACCAAGATCACAGAATGCTCTGTTAAAATTGCAGAGAGAATCTTGGAATTTGCTTACAAACAAGGTAAATATATACATTTTTTTAGTTCTTAATTATTAAAATAATTTTATTAGAATAAATAGGCTTGTCATCATTTTTCATCAATTTAGCTTGTCTTCAATTAAACTTGTGGTCATTTTATCTAGTTATTAATTAAGCTTGTCGTCATTTTGCTTGTTAGTTAGCTTGTTCTCATTTTATCTACATTTTTGCTTGTCGTTTTCGCTTGTTACTTAAACTTGTCGTCAATTTGGGTTGCATTCAATTAAACTTGTCATTTTAGCTGGTTCTAATTTTATTATGTTTTAACTTTAGCTTGTTAATATTGTCGTTATTTAACCTTGTCCTCAATTAACCTTGTTATTTTAGCTCAATTGGGCTTGTCTTTATTTTAGCTAGTAATTTAAATTTTTCGTAATTTAATCTTTTCCTTATATTATATTTTTATAACTTTGGCTTGTTCCTATTTTTTTCTCTTCAATTAAGCTTGTCATAATTTTAGTTTGTCTTTAATTTCGCTTGTCTTTATTTTTTTTATTAAATTAAACTTGTCTTCAAACTAGGTTGCATCCAATTAAACTTGGCGTAATTTCATATTGTCCAAATTGAATTTGTCATTTTAGCTGGTCTTTATTTTATTTTGTTTTAACTTTAGCTTGTCCATGTTATTGCTCGTCTTCAATTAAGCTAGTCATCATTTTAGTTTGCCTTGTCCCTATTTTATCTTTTATTAAATTAATCTTGTCGTTATTTAATCTTGTTCTCAATTAAATTGTCATTTTAGCTTGTCTTAATTTTATCTTGTTTTAACTTAAGTTTGTCTTTAATTGGGCTTGTCCTCATTTTAGCTAGTAATTTTAATTATTCCTATTTTAAGCTTGTCGTTTTGACTTGTTATAATTATTAAAACTTTCTGTTTAAGCCTATAATTTAAACTTGTCGTCAAATTGGGTTGCATCCAAATAAACTTGTCGTTATTTAATCTTGTCCTCAATTTAACTTGTAATTTTAGCTTGCTTATTTTATCTTGTTTTAACTTAAGCTTGTCTTCAATTAGGCTTGACATAATTTTGGCCCGTCTTTATTTTGGATTTTTCGTATTTTAAGCTTGTTGTTTTAACTTGTTATAATTATTTAAACTTGTCGTCAATTTGTGTTGCATCCAATTGAACTTGTCTTTATTTAATCTTTTCTTAAATTAAACTTGTTATTTTGGCTTACCTCATTTTATCTTGTTTTAACTTAAGCTTGTATTCAATTGGGCTTGTTATCATTTTAACTAGTAATTTCAATTGTTCCTATTTTAAACTTGTCGTTTTGACTTGTTATAATTATTTAGACTTGTCGTCTATTACGGTTGTATCCAATTAAACGTTTTGTTATTTAATCTTGTCCTCATCTTTTATTAAATTTAGTTTTAGCCTATCATTTAAACTTCGTCGTCAAATTGGATTGCATCCAAATAAACTTGTCCTCAATTAAACTTGTCATATTAGATTGTCCTCTCTTTATCTTGTTTAACTTAAACTTGTATTTAATTGGGCTTGTCATCATTTTGGCTCGTCTTTATTTTAGCTAGAAATTTAAATTGTTTGTATTTTAAGCTTGTCGTTTAATCTTGTTATAGTTATTTAAACTTGTCGTCAATTTGGATTGCATTCAATTGAACTTGTCATTTAAGCTTGTCCTTATTTTATCTCGTTTTAACTTAAGCTTGTCTTCAATTAAGCTTATCATCACTTTGGCTCGTCTTTATCTTAGCTATTAATTTAAATTTTTCGTATTTTATATTTGTCGTTATAAGTATTTTATATTTGTCGTTATTATTATTATGGCTCGTCTTTATTTTAGCTAGAAATTTAAATTGTTTGTATTTTAAGCTTGTCGTTTAATATTGTTATAATTATTTAAACTTGTCGTCAATTTGGGTTGCATCGAATTGAACTTGTCGTTATTTTATCTTTTCCTAAATTAAACTTGTCATTTTAGCTTGTTCTCATTTTATCTTGTTTTTACTTAAGCTTGTCTTTAATTGGGCTTGTCATCGTTTTAAATAGTATTTTCAATTGTTCGTATTTTAAGCTTGTCGTTTTATCTTGTTATAATTACTTAACTTGTTTTACTTTAAATTTAGCTTGTTCTCATTTTAACTTTTAATAAATTAAATTCCCGTTTTTGCCTATTACTTAAACTTGTCATAAATTAAAGTTGCCATTTTAGCTTGTCCTCATTTTATCTTTTTTTAAATTAAACTTATTATTTAAACTTGTCGTCAATTTGCATGATGCAACTTGCATCGAATTAAACTTGTCGTTATTTGATACTGTCCTTAATTAAACTTGTCATTTTAGCTTGTCCTCATTTCATATTGTTTTAACTTAAGCATTTTCTTGTATAGAAAATGTTTACTTATTAAAGTTGCCCTGTCTCAAAACTAACCTTTTTTTAGGTAACGCAACCGTATACCCAGAGCCCAGAGACAAAGAAGCCTTCATCAGAGCCCAAATGTACAATACCGACTACGCTCCAGCCATCCCAAGTATCTACCAATACCCAAAAATGTAAATTTTTAACTTAGCTCTAAACTGAAGGCGCTTAAAACCAATTATAGTATTTTTTACAAAGTTGTGCGATAATTTTTGAAGAATTATTTACGGCTTTGCAAAAAATATATAAATACATGTTACATGCTTTCAATAATTCCCACATGTGATTATTTTTATTTAAGGTACACGTATGTATGTAAATATTGTTACCGCAGATTTTTAGGCAATTTTTTTTATTTATTAAATTGATATATGTATGTTATTTTCATATGCATTTAGATGCGTTATGGTGGCAGACGAAGATTTTAATTGTATAATACTAAATAAATTATTTATTTTTAACCGACGACTTTCATTTATTTATTACAACCTTGTCCTAAGAAACATTGTGTAGGTCAAAATAAAAACATCGCTTGTAAATAGTATTTTTTCATTTAACTAAGTATACTGTGGTACAATGTTATACAAAAATTCTATGATTATATATAAAACTATATATAAACCAATTGAACATTCCTGGACTAGATAAACATGTACTTAATACATGTGATTAGTGTGTAGATCACATTATAGATAATAAAAACGATTAATAAAACATTTCCAACAAAATTTTAGGAATTTTAATGAATTAATTATTTGTTATAACAGTGTTTAGTGCCTAGTAATGATGCAATTAGTGAAGTCCAAAACTGTTTTTTAGAAGGAATTGCATTTTTTATAACACTATTTGAAGATTATAGCTATCAAAAAGTCCCACTTGGACATTTAAATAAGGAATGCATTAAAATAATTGAGGATATTTAGGATTAACGCTAATTTAGTCTTAGACGTAATTAGCGTTAAACTGACAGATACATAACCTCATTTATTTCACTGCATTCCTTATTCAAATGTCAGTGGGACTTTTTGATGGGATCATAGTACTGTACATACATATGTATATTGCATCATTACATTAATAACTTTTAATACCATCCACAAATAATACCTATTAAAAATATCGGGCTTATGTATTTAAAGGAACCTTTTTAACTATAATATTGTTAATATAAATTATTATATCTGTGCATTACATGTTTAGTGTTAACCAATAACGTCAAAAAATACTTCGCATATCAGCTAAGATATACAAAACAGAATAGACAGTTCGAGGGGATAGAATTAAAAGTTTCTAGTATCAAAAATATTTAATTTGACATATTTTTGTGTATTTATTGTGCTATACCTTTATTTTACTTTAATCAAAATAATTTTTTGTAAGAGTTCTTTAACCGGTTGAAATAAACACCTAAATAGCTTTTAGAACACGCAGTAATTCTAACCCCACGGGTTAATATTTGTAAAATAATCTCGTAGGGTATTTAAAAAAACCGATATCGTTGTTTATCGCTACAACATAAAAATTCCTTGGATTAAGGAATTTTAATGATGGAGTAAAAAAAACGATATTGCTTTTTTCAAACAAATGGTGACATAAATTATTAAAAGAACCATAATTTTGTAACTTAAGGCAAATATAATAAATATTTCGTCATAGTTTTTAAGATTCACCAACCAAAAAAATTATTATCCAGCAGTTAAAATGTCGCTCCAAATGTAACCCATACTGTTGACCTAAATTTTGGGCGACAAAAATTACAAATTGGAATTATTAAGAAGCTCAATAAGTATATAATTCTATAAGGTTCAACAATATTTTATTGAATTAAAATATTGAGTATTTTTTACTGTAAGTAAATAATTAAAAATTCTGCACTGAACAACAAAATATTTTGGCGGCCGATAATAAACTATGAGTAACTTTATTATTTTGTTATTTTCCATTGTTGTCGCACTAAAAATATATTTTCTCTACGACTACTTAAGAATAGTAACATTCTAGTGTAATTTTTGATCATAGAAAGGATGTTTTTCTGCAATACTGTGCGAGAATATTCCTACTCTTGTTTAAGAATGGTCACAAGTAACGACATCTCCTGGCTGTTTACTAAACGTAAAAAATTTGAAAATATTTAAATATTACTGTATTATTTATTAATTAAAAAATAATAGCAATTGCATAATTAAGGTTCAGGCACAAAAAATTAGTTATATTTATTGTTTTTCAAATATACAAATCAAAATTATAATAAATTTGATATTAAAATGAGAAACCAGTTACCTACTATACCGGCTTTGAAGTTTTGACAGATTTAAAAAGTTAAAAAAAAGACCTTTAAAATGTAGAAAAAGAATAGATGTTGACATAGATTACTTGTAAAATTAGTTTTGTATTTGTTACAATGTTATTTTTTTTATTAGTTAGTGTAAATAACTATTTTTAATTATAATAAAGATTTAGGCATATCATTTGTTTAAATTTATTATAATTTACATTATAAAATTGTGACGGCACAAAATAAATACTTAAATAATTAAATAGGTACAAAAAACTTAAATGTCAAAAAGTGCTTGGTTTCTTTTCTTTGTTTAAAATAATATAAGCGTTACTATTCTTACGTAGTCGTAGAGAAAATAATGTCTGAAACACGTTTGGAATAGCATATTCCACTCTCGTAAAACCGTCACACTCGCCTTCGGCTCGTGTGTCAAATTTTTCCTCGAGCGGAATATGCTGTATTCCAAACTTGTTACAGAATGTACTATTATCATATTAGATAAAATATTCACTTAATCAGCTTAAAATAAAAAAATATTTCTCAAAATATATTCAATGGCAAAAATTTCGTTATTCATATCAAATGAGTCTCTCATATGCTTAAATTAATCAATAATTCATATACATAAGTCAATTTTATAAAAAACCTAATTTGAATAATTTTGAACTGTTTTTTTCAATTACGAATATTAAGCTTTGCATATAAAATGTTTCAACTAACATTAACTCCTTGAAACCTATACAGGGTGGTCCATAGAGGACAAATCAGCAATTTTTAAGGTTTTGATCGTTTCAATGTATTTAATAAATTATTTTTTTAATATTGTAAATGTCAATCAACCGGTCTGTGACATTTGAATAAGGAGTGCAGTTTAACGCTGGGTCAGAATTTCTCAAACGGGCCACCTGAATTAGGTCAAAATTAGTTTTTGATTGTAGATACATTTTTTCGATAGTATTTTACATCACTAACACAAATCCTAAAGGATTTTGTAAAAAAAAAATTTTCAATTGACATATTCATGATATTAAAAGTGAAAGTTTTTAGTAATTAAAAAACTAAACTAATTATCCGATTCCAACGATTTAACTAGCGTTGGAATCTTGTTTTGACATAGATTCTTTGTTATTTTTTTCAATTGTACAATTTTCATTTAGGTCGATTTTTTTTTGTTTTTTTTATAACAAATTCGGAAATAATTGGCTTCTGCGCCAGCTATCGACTCGAAAAAAAAAACACATATACTCCAATCATTTTTCGAAATTATGCTGCTGAGAAAAAAAATGGCCCGCAGGTTCCAGACCACCGTAAGACGTCGCGTCACAAGCGCGTACAGCGTACACGGTTCGGAGCGTGAGCTGACACCGCGCGCGGCCACAAAAGGACGAATAACTTTTTGTCAACCTGCGGGCCATTTTTTTTCTCAGCAGCATAATTTCGAGAAATGATTGGAGTATATGTGTTTTTTTTCTCGAGTCGATAGCTGGCGCAGAAGGCAATTATTTCCGAATTTGGTATAAAAAAAACAAAAAAAAATCGACCTAAATAAAAATAGGACAATTGAAAAAAATAACAAAGAATCTATGTCAAAACAAGATTCCAACGCTAGTTATATCGTTGGAATCGGATAATTAGTTCAGCCATAATGAATTTTTTTATTTTTTAATTATTAAAAACTTTGACTTTTAATATCATGAATATGTCAATTAAAAATTTTTTTTTACAAAATCCTTTAGGATTAGTGTTAGTGATGTAAAATACTATCAAAAAAATGTATCTACAAACAAAAACTAATTTTGACCTAATTCAGGTGGCCCGTTTGAGAAATTCTGACCCCGCTATTTTCTATAATTAATACAATGCATGCAATTTTTGTGCATAAACATCTTAATTTATAACACAAAAGATATTTTTTTAGAAAATAAAACGAAATTTGCGTTAAACTAATAAAACCAATAGAAAGCTTAGAATGTTAATACTTGTGATGTCATAAGTATAAACAATAAATTACTTAATAATAAAACTTATTAATTGCTTGATTTATACCAAGTGAAACACCCTGTAGTACGTATTATATGTACATAATTGCATAATTTACCATAATAACTAACAACATGACGATTTGGCAGACTCTGCTTCAATCAAATTATAATCCATCCCGTTGGGTCTGGCAAATCCAGTTTTGATACCATCCCACCCATCCTCAACCTTATATTCACCTAGAGATGAAAAAAAGAACTTACAAAAACTAGAAAAAATCGTTTTTTTAAATGATTATAATAATTATTTCTTTAATTTTAATTCAGTAAGAATATTCTACAGGGCCGCAAAAAAAACATATTTGGTGCTGTATTAACATAACTTTCGTATTATTTCACACTTTATTTGAGGAGTGATTTTTCAAAAGATCGTATTTCTATTTGCAACAATTTTTCAAAAAAATGACTATAACCTATATAGGTTAGGGCAATATAGATTATTTAAAAAAAAATTCTGATGAATATTTAATAATACTTCAGACCTGCTGTCATATTTCGCCGTTAATATATGCCTTTTAACCATACCTTTGGGATTTTGTCAAAAAATTACATTCAAGTAAAAATGGAAATAAGGCCTTTTGAAAAATAACTCCTCATTTATAAACTTATAATTTTGTAATTGAAGGGGTCAATGCAAGAAGTGCCTTAGTCACAAATAGGTGATTCTGAGATATTGCGGTTTGAAGGTTTATTTTTGATTATGAAATATTACACAAAATATTATGATGAAAATGTGTGTTGTATTTTTTGTGAAAAGTGGATTGGACTTCCATGATTAAAAAAGAAAAAACGTTTTGTTGTATCAAAAAAATATATAAAATAATTTGGGACTTAAGCCCAATTGGGCACTTTTTGTGTTGAAATGTTTTTATTTTGTCAAAAATTAAGGGATATTTTAAGAAAAAATTTGTTTATACCTAAAAAAATGTTTATTATATTATAACGCCATAAAAAAATATATAAATTATAAACAAAACTTAAACATAACTTAAAGCAAAACTAAGAATATCATAAGAAGGCTGGCTATTCATAAACAGCGTCGGCCTCTTGTAACTGATCAATTTCTTTATCAATGACATCATTTTGCTGGATTATACTTCCATTTTCAGACAAGGTTCAAGCAAAAAAACGGTAACTGGTATGTTTTAAGGTTTCACAATCTATTATATTTTACTTTACTTACCTGCAATAGTTATGTTTTTAGTCACAGAAACAAATTATTAGCATATACACAGTTTAATAGGTAATTTGCTCAGATATAACCTTATTTAAATAACGTGGACCAGGTAAACTCCCATTGAAGTAAATGCAAACTAAGGCACTTAGACACATATTTCTGCCACTCTGCAAATACCACCTGAAAGCTGAAGTGAAACACTTTTAGATAGCGCCACAATGTCATTTTTATTGAAAATGTGACTTAGCCACTTCTTGCAATGACCCCTTCAATTTAATTTTAAGTCATTATTTTGTATTTGGATATTTTCAATTTGCAAAAAAGACCCAACCAAAAGTATATTTAAAGTTTACTTTTATTTTCTTAAGACAATTTAGTTTTTTTCTGTAATAAAGGATATTTTTTTAAATTAAAATAAAGTTAGGATATTGATTGCTACTTTTTTAAATGTGTATTTTCCAAAAAAAAATCATTTTCGCAAAAAAGACAATTTTTCCAAGGCCTGGGAAAAAACGGAAAAACAAATTATTTTCCCAATTAACACTTTAAAACCCTATTCTGGACCCTGTTCTAAGTAATGATTACTGGGTGCAACACAAAATTGTATACAAGATTTAATTGTTTTTTCGTGAAAGTATACTTATTTAATATAATAGTAAATCTTTAGCTAGGTTTGTAAAAGTTAGCTCGATTTTTTTTCCATGGTCTTGTAAAGCGTTTGAGTTTGAGGATAGCTACTTATAGTTAATTTCGACTAAAAATTAAATATTTTATAAAAGTAAGTTGATGTTTTTCGATCCAAATTTTTGTAAAAAGGTTTTTATTTTAAAAAATATTTGTTTTTATTAACAATTGATGCAACCAAATTTAGTTTTAAGGGTACAAATTTAAATAAAAACATTTTTAGTTTAGAGATTTTTAAAATAACCATGTTGGCAACACTGCATAAAACGATGAAATAATTATATTTATCTACTCCTATTGCATAATTTTGGTGTTTTTCCGTGAATATTGTAAAGCATTATAAATTTCCTGCCTAACAACGTGAATAATAAACTCAGTATTCACGTTGTTAGGCATCAGTGATTGGCCGATTTCAGTATTCACTGTGATTTGAACCAATCGGGTTTTAAATTGGAAGAAGGCGACTATAATAACATTTAAAATTGGTCAAAAGTGAGGTTAACCATTTGACAGATCTCAGATTTAATTTATTTAATTTTGAAAATCATTTAATTATCTACTTATTGGAGTAGATAAAGTATAGTATTACACTCGAGATTATGCGCAATATTCACTGGGATGATTTAGGTCTCTTGTCTGGCGACTTGAGACGTGAATATTAGCCTGCATTATCTCTCGTATAATAATATACTATTTTAGTAGGAAGCTTGTAATAAAAAAACAACAAAGTTTACAAACTTTTTTTTTTGTACAAAAAATTGGACCTAATTTTTTAAAACAAAAAGTAATTATTTAAAAAAAAAATTTAATTTATTCCCTAGGACTAGAGAATTTTTTATGCTCCGAAATTTAAAAAAATAGTATTTAATGAGGTAGACTAAAGAAAGAGGCCATAAAAAAATCTAACTTTAACAAACAACAGGGTTTTAATATGTACACTTTAAGGGAAAATTAGTGAAACCGGTCATATGACAATAATTTTTATATTATTCACGGTGCCGTTCTGAGAGGTGATTTTTGGACTTTCTGTAAAACCTAATTTTTTTTTATATTCTTGTTACCTAATCCATAACTAAAATTTTAAGATCAAAATAAAAAAAATTCGACGGTTAATTTTGTTTTAATTGGATGTTTATTAAAAATATGTATGCACACTTTCAATTCTCCAATTAAAACTTGCGATTTTATTTAAATATTATCATAACACTTTTTTAATACTTTTTTTTTTTGTAACAAATGTTAGAATATTTTAATACTATAAATGTGTTGTAAATGAATATTTATTGTAAACAGGCAGAAAGACTAAGGTCGTTAGCCTTTTGGAGTAATCCAATAAAGTTTATTTTATTATTATTTTATTTATTATTATCATAACTTTTTAAATCAGATTAAAGATTAGTTAATTTCCTAAAAAAAGGTCTATACATTTTTTATATCTTTTACTGTTTTGTGGTAATACACGTTTAAAGTTTTAATTTAATGTTAAATGTATAGTATACATTTATTAAACAATAATTCTAAGGGTGCCACATTTTATTTAGGGCCGATTTATTCATTTTTGATTTATTTGACGAATAATTTCTTTGGATACTAGATATTGCCAAGACATGAAAGTTATCGGCCCGATAAACTTTACTAAAGATGAATAAACCGGTCCTTAGTTAAATTTCATGAATTTCTTTGTAACTTTTATCACAATTTTTCATTTTTGTTTATAAAAAACACTTTAAAAAACTAAACAAAAATTATAGAATACGTATACTGAAAATGACAATTCAAACATCAAATAAATTTTTAATAGATCTAAGTTTCATGGCAACCTTTAAGGATATATTAATTAAGGGAACATAAATGTATACGTCAAAGGTTAGATTAAAAGTTTGAACGTTTATTGCAACAAAACAGTAAAATATATAAAAAAAATTGTAAAAACCTTTTTTTTAGTTATGCAAATATTAAATATTTAAATTAAATCGCTAGTTTTAATTGGATAATTGAAAGAGTGCATAATATTTTTAATAAACAGCCAATTAAAACAATTCAAACCGTCATTTTTTTTTATTTTGCTCTTAAATTTTAGTTATGACCTAATTAACAAGAATATAAAAAAGAATTAGGTTTCACAGAAAGTCCAAAAATCACCTCTCAGAACAGCACCGTGTATTTGTTGCTAGAGAATTTTAAGAAAAACATATTTTTTTCTTAAAATTCTCTATTGCGTATTTTCGTCCAATAATGAGCGAATTTTTTTGCTAAAATGTTCGCAAATTTTTTTGCTTGATTGAATTAATAAAAGAAAATATTATTTCAATGGCAAAAAAGTAAAAGGTTAAATAAACATGAAATTTAAAAAAAAATAGTGTTTTTTAATCTCACCTGATAGAATTCTGTTGTATACTTCTTGTGTCACCGATTTAAAAGCCTCCTCCACATTTTGACCGTTTTTAGCTGAAGTCTCGACGTGGAACAAGCAATGCTGATCGGCGAAGGCTTTGGCCTCCTCCTTCGAGACCTCCCTCGTGCCCCCGTTGTTCACCAAGTCGATTTTACAACCGACCAGGGCGAAAACCGGCCTGTGGGGTTCAATGTGGCGTCTAGCTTCCGACATCCATATGGGGATGTGCTCGAAACTGGCCCTGTTGCATATATCGTACACTAAAAGAGCCCCGACCGAGTTTCGGTAGTACGACTTCGTTATGGATCTGAATCTCTCCTGACCGGCAGTATCCCACAGCTGCAGTTTTATCCGAGTGCCGTCTTTTACTTCTATTAGTCGTGCGAAAAAATCCACCCCCACTGTGGGATCTGAGAGCTAAAATATGATGCAAATTGATCAGGGTTAATAGAAATTCTGATTTAAAATATAAAATATGCGACAAATCAATTTTACGTGGACTTTTAAAAAATATATAAGGTTCAAAATAATATTTAAGGGGTTCTGGGAGCTGCTTAGCCAACAAAAAAATTCTGCACATAAAGTGTGAAACCTAAAAGTTAAAAAAGGCCAACATCTAAGTTAACATTTTAATAGATTTATCTAGATTAAGTTAATATTCCAAAAAGTTATATCTAGCTAGAGTTTACATTCTTAACAGATATATTTTGCTTAAGTTGACATTTTTTAGGCAGTTAAATATAGTATAAACGGACATTATTAAGACAATATAATTTGTCATTATATCTAGCTTAAGTCGACAATTTTAAGACAAAGTAATCTGCCAAGTCGGTAAAATTAGCAAATTGGTGGTATTTTTTCTTCTGAATAAAATGGTGAAAACAGAAAAACAATTAAACGTGAAAAATAATGTAATTTAAAATAAAAACATATTATTGCATAACTAACCTAAACCTAAAAATAAATAATTAATAAGGACTTGAACTTTTTAATTGTAAAAATAAAGTAATTATTTGTTGTTTCAAATAAATTGTCTTTTAAAATATGTAAAAATACCTATAGTGTCCCATTTAAAAATATGTTGTATTAGTGAATTTTTGGAAATCCAAATGGTTTTTTTACTATACAAATCAGAACTCCAGTTTTATCAAACTTAAGTTGATATATCATTTTATACCAGATTTAAGTGATTTAAGTTTAAAGCAGTTAAATCTAGCCACAAATTAAATTCTTGCTAACTAGATATGACCATGTTAAGAATGTTAACTTAAGCTTTATAAAAATAATGTCAAGGTGGGTGTGGAGCATGGTACCTAGCTTATGTTGTCATTAAGAATGTCATTCTTAAAACAGTTCATTTTTTTAATAGGAATTTGACGTCAAAAATTTGGGCGTTTTGTTGGCAAATTCTAGGTTCCCTTAATTTATAATTGGCTACATTAAGTAGAGCAAACTAGTTTAGTGAAGAATATAAATTATGTTTATAAATTTTGAAATGTCAAATAAAAGTTGTTAAATAATGCAATAACTTTTGATGAAATATAAGTGACTTTACAACCCAGAAGAGGCAAATTTGGATTCACAGCATACAAATACACATGTATGTTTAATATAATTTTGACAGTTAAATGACAAATGTCAAAGTATTTAAAATTAAGTACCAAGTTTAAATATTAAAACTACCAAAAATATACAGTTGTATTCATTAAAAAAGCGTACAAGAATTAGAATGAGAGAAAACTGTCAACATTATTGCGTAAAACCGGCTTTCCACTGACTTAAGTCACTATAACTGACAGTAGAAAATAAAAATGCCTCGTCAGTTAAAAAGGCTCAAATAGTATCAAGAATCGAAGAAGAATGCTCAATTCGTACTGTGGTATAATAGAAATAAAAAATCTATATTAAAAATTAAGCAACGCTGGGAACAGGAAGATTTACTAAACCAAAAAGTTGGTTCAGGTCGTCCCAAAATGTCCACCCCTGAACAGGATGCTGCTTTTTTGGGATATCTGAGGATTTATGGGAAACTATACAACTATACTATACCTACTATACTGCTGGAAAGATATTAATCCAAATAGATTGGCTCAAGTAATAGAAAAACAGGGATGCATGACTAAATATTAAATTTTTTTTAATGTTTGTTTTTTTTCATTTCTAAAAGGTAATAATTTTTGTAATATTATTTAATTAACCTACGACGTCAATGCTCTTTATAACCTATAGTAATTATTTTAATGACTTATGTTAGTGATAAGCCGGTTTTAAGCAATAATATTATTTTGACAGTTTTCTCTCATTCTAATTCTTGTACGCTTTTTTATTGAATACAACTGTACTAACATACAATACTATCATAATCAAATGTGTCAAAAACGAACTTTATATCTAGTTTATAACATTTTAGTTATACCATTGAGTGACGATTCCTTAATCAATGAAGAATAAGAATAGTATATTCTGTAACAAGTTTGGAATACGGCATATTCCGCTCGAGTGAAAAGTTTGTCACACGAGCCGAAGGCGAGTTTGACGGTTTCACGAGAGGGGAATATGCAATTCCAAACGTGTTTCAGACTATACTTTTTCTACGTTTCCAAAAAATACCATAGACAAATAATTTAATTGGAAGAAAGTGAGGTTGGATCGGTCTAAAATTTGTTAGATATTAAACACAGAGATGTCGCCACGAGTGTATATTCTGTCATCAGATGATAGAATATTTCATTCTGTAACACTTTACGGAATAAATGTAATTCCATAGATAAAAGTGATATTAGAACGGTCAAATTCCATAATAGGAGTAGAAAAAGTTATATTATATTAAGCTAAAGTTGACATTCTGAAGAATATTATATAGCTTCAGTTGGCATTTTAAAGTTATTTTTATCTAGATTGGTAATTTTTTGTTGTTGACTAACTACACTGGTGTACCCAAACTAGGGTCTGCAAACAGACCAATTTAACAAAAAATTACTAATACGTTTTGGCAATGGATTTAATTGACTACATATCAACTAAACCCTCAAATGAATTAACCTTGATATCATGTAAGTTTCAATGTTGTATTACCTCAGCAAATTTTCCATCTGTAAAGTATTTTAACAAAGAACTTTTGCCCACTGTGCTGTCTCCTATTAAAATCAGTCGGAACTGATAGTCGAAAATTGGCTCGACCATTTTTATAACATTACTTTATTTGTGCTAAATTCGTATAGATCACCTGGATAAATATTTATGTTTGTTATTGAAAATGACAACTGACGCACTTGACAGACACACTGTAGCCAACAATATGAAAGTGAAATCCCCAGTTGTCAGGACAGGGGCGTACTCCAGAAAATTGATAAATCTAAATAGTGGTCTATAATGTAAATAATTTTGGATTTAATCTAATGACATTTCCAAAATAAAATGTTAATTTTTTTTAATAAAGAAGTTACGATAAATCTATTTTTCATTTTTGACGCTGTCAAAAAATGCATCTGTCAACCGTAACTGTCCATTTTAATTTAGGCACGAGCGAGTGCTTAAGTTAATGAGTGTATTGAAAGTATTTAAAAGGTCATTTAGTGTCATGGTAACATGTACAGTTGTATTCATTAAAAAAGCGTACAAGAATTAGAATGAGAGAAAACTGTCAACATTATTGCGTAAAACCGGCTTTCCTCTGACTTAAGTCACTATAACTGACAGTAGAAAATAAAAATGCCTCGTCAGTTAAAAAGGCTCAAATAGTATCAAGAATCGAAGAAGAATGGTCAATTCGTACCGTGGTATAATAGAAATAAAAAATCTATACTAAAAATTAATAATTTTTGTAATATTATTTAATTAACCTACGACGTCAATGCTCTTTATAACCTATAGTAATTATTTTAATGACTTATTTCAGTGATAAGCCGGTTTTAAGCAATAATATTATTTTGACAGTTTTCTCTCATTCTAATTCTTGTACGCTTTTTTATTGAATACAACTGTACGATAAAGGGCGTTTTAAAGGTGGGAGTAGAAAAAATATAAAATCCACCGTTTTTAAATTAAATTAAATGGGTTTTGAAAACTTTAATATAAATATGTATTTTACACACTGAATTAAAGTTTTGGTATTAAACTTAAATGCCTATTAGGCATTAATTAACTCAAAAACTTCTCATCATAAAAACAAAATAAATGGATTTAAATGTTTAATTAAAATATGTATAAATACTTGGTAAACATGTAATACATAGTACTATCTATTGGATTTTTTAAGTTAAAATTAGGAAATTGTTAGGGAAATATTGGTTATAGTTTTAACGTATAGCTTAATCAAAGATATGAAATGTAATCTAGTTTGTACAAAAATACACAAGTAAAATATAATCTAATGTGTATAACTAACTTATAATAAATTATTTATTATTCCAACTATCAACACAAAAATTCTTTATAAACCTAAAGCAATACTTAAACGGTTTCACAAGTACCCAAGTTGTAAGAAACCCTACACAAATAACGCCATAAATAAAACAAACATAACTACCTTTTGTGTGCTTGGTAAACCAGTTTGTATAAACACTTAAAGATAACGATATACCCCCAAAAATTAAAGCAACTATAGAACTCGAAACATGCACAAACTTAACAATCTTTGGGCTAACAATATGAGTCAGACTCATTTTCCACAGTAAAGGAATGCCGTTTATACATGTCGGCACAGCTGCAATTGTTCCTATAAGTCCAAATAAACCATGCCACGTTTTAAAATGGGGTTTGTTGGAATAATCCTTGTTTAGAAATACTATGAAAAATGCTGTTAATATACAAGTTATTGCTATCGTCAATGCTATCCAGTGGGTCCTCCAACGTATTAGAGTTTTCAAGGATTTTGTAAGGCTGTTGTCTTTTTCAAGGGCTAAAACGCCTTCTGTCATCAACAGGGTCCACTAAAAATATGAAAAATCAATAAATATGTTATATTTGCCCACAAATAACGTTTTTGATAAAAACAAAGCAAGCGTGTTTAAAAACAACTACAATTTGAGGTTATGTACCTACCCCAATGGACATCAAAATAGGGTGCCATGTGAAAAAAACAAAAGTGTCTGTCAGTGCCAAGTAGATCACTAATAACGTGTACACACAGGTGCAAAAATGGGCGACATTCGTTAAAGTTGCGTTAACTTTGTTTGGTGGTTCTTTAGCTCTAAGTTTAGGTCCCATCTCCACATCAGCTATACTTTCATTATTTAAACAATTATCTATGTTGTCTGGTAGACAATCTCGGGCCTTGAAGTGCTAACAAATGACCATGATAAAAGAATTGTTTGAAGGATTTAATTTTATTTATTTTTCAGTTTGTGATTAATTTACTTTTAAGAATTGCTGAATCTTGGTAATTCCCCATATCTTGTTTATGTTAATAGAATGATAATGAATTGTCTGCATGTTTTCCTAAATGTTGAGCAAATTTATTATTAATTTTTTTTTAATTTAAAAAAATATGGTACCTATAGGTAAGTACTTACCTATACCATATTTTTTTAAATTAAAAAAATTTTTAATAGGTACGTACCTATACCTATATATAGGTACGTACCTATAGGTATACCTTTATTGCTTAAATTGTTTTAAAGCAATTGATTTAATTTTATTATTTTAATTAGCTATTTAATAATAAAATTAAAACTATAATTTTAATATATATATTAATATCTTCCAAGAACAAGCATAAATATTTATTAATTTAAATCATATATAAAAGCTTGAAGTTAAAAAATTATAAAATTATAATGGTTTTTTAAATAAATTATAATGATTACCTAAATATTATTATAATTTAAATTAGGTATTATCCTAAATAATGAATTAGGTACTAATTACCCACTGGGAAAAATAATATTTCTACAATGTTACTGAACGTTACATTTGTTAGATGTAATGTTACAAAAATCCTTGTGGCAATGTTGCAGGAACATTGCAACAAAGCCTTATGTCCGGCTCAGGAACATTATATTTACAAATAAAATGTTGCTAAATGTATTAATTGCAATGTTACTAAATGTTATTTTTGTTAATGTAAGGTTCCTGCAACATTACATTTGTTAGGTGTAATGTTACAAAAAACCTTGTTGCAATGTTGCAGGAACATTGCAACAAAGCCTTATGGTTCAGAAACATATGTAATATTACATATACAAATAAAATATTGCTTAAATGTATTATTTGCAATGTTACTAAATGTTATTTTTGTTAATGAAAGGTTCCTGCAACATTACAGGAATATTGCAATTTAATTAATATGAATTATTATTATAATAATTAATTAATAATTATAATTATTTATCCGTAAGCTATAGGCCTATTATATATACCGATATATATATACCGGTATTACCGATATATACATAACAGACTGTTTTGACCTGTTTGGTCTCATGAGTGTCAGGCAGTCGGTGACGGGAGACACGCATCAAGCTCGGCAATGTTCACTTATAAAGATATAAATGACCAAGACAGTGGCGAGATGCATCGGCAAGTCAGTCTGCAAACAACATTGCAAAAATTATCTTAATGCAATATTTCGGATGTCCAAAACTAAAGTTATAATTATAAATGTACATTACGTAATATTATAGTTACAATGTTCCAAAAATCTTGCAAATTAAATGTTTATATTGTTTATATTAAGCAACATTTTAAAAATCATCTTAATGTAATATTTCGGATGAAACATTGCCCAAAACTTATCAATGTAATATTATAATTGCAATGTTTCAAAAATATTCCCAAACATTCCAAAATAAATGTTTCTATTGTATATTTAAAGTAAAGTTGCAAACATTTTTCATTTGAAACTTGTGTTAATATTTCAATTGAAACATTGAAAAAAAGTTATGTCTGCAATATTATAATTGTAATGTTTAAAAACTTTTATGCAACATTTTATACCTACTAAATGTTACAAATATAACATTGTAAAAACTTTCCATGTGAATCTTTAAATAATGTTTTAAATTTAAGGTTGTTGGAAATTATTGTATGCAATATTTCAAATGTAACATTTCATTTATGTTAATGCAAGTAGCACAAGAAATATTTTATTTGTAAAGTCGGCGAACATTGCAGCAATATTTTGTAAGGCCGTATTACAGCCGGCAAGGTTTCTTTCCCAGTGGGTAATTAATTAGGTAAGTACTTATAATTATAATTAGGTACTTAATTAGGCATATATATTTTCTCAGTTACCTCACGCCCTAATTTCTTACGCATTTTGATGATATATTTATTTATAAAATTAATTTTATAATTTTTTTTTTATAATTTATACCTAATTAATAAATTTTTAAGAATTTTAAGTGACCACCCTTGTGGAAATTTTTCTCTGAGAAAGTCTTACTTTCTCTGAAAAAGTCTGAATAATACTTATTAAGTCGGAAAAAGTCAGAATAAGACTTATTAAGTCGGAAAAAGTCTGAATAAGTCTTATTAAGTCAGACTAATAGCAAGATTTGGGAGTCTTCTGGAAGAGTTAATAAGACTTTTTAAGACTTAATAAGACTTTTTGTAGAGAAATGGTAGGTACCTACGGAGATAAAAATAAATATCCGAAATAATTCATAGAGGTTGTATTTGGTTATCGTAAAATAAAACACATAGAAAAGTATTTATTAACATTTTTGCTGTTGTTATAAGCCAAGTTTATTGCATAATTACCTATATAATAACATAGGTGAGATGTAATAATTAGGTATAACAATTATAATTTTATACATATGATGCGCTTGACATGCATGCTTCCACCATAGAAAAAGGAGTTGCCACTGTTCGTTTTATTTTAATAGTTTCTTTTGAAACACGCAAATATTTACCTATCTAAACATTGTTACAAACAATAGACGTAAGACGTAATATCGAGAGACCAGCTTAGCTAGCTGACCAATTAGAGCACAGTGTTGCCGTTTGCAAGTATTTTACTCGAAAATCGGGTATTTTCATAATATTTGCGGGTGATTTGCAAATTTCTATCAAAATAATAATAAAAGAAATTTTCAGTAAATAATATTGTATATTTACTAAATATGCACAATTATTTTATTCTATCTTGTTACATTTTTATTATTATTTTAGTATTTTGTAATTTATGGTCAGGAACTTTTATGGCAACACTGTACGTAAACACGAAGATCAACCATGATACAAAGATGAATGAAAGTTTCATTGTTTCATTATGAAACACGAAGATCAACCATATTTGTCTTATGAGTCTATCGAAAATATCATGTCTATAGACTTAATATCAATTAATATTAACTCCTTTTTCTATGTTGGAAACAATGAAAGCATGTTAAGCGCATCGTATGTATAAAGTTATAATTGTTATAATTATTACACCTTACCTATGTTAGTATATAGGTAATTATGCAATAAACTTGGCTTATAACAACAGCAAAAATGTTAATAAATACTTGTCTATGTGTTTTATTTTACGATAACCAAATACAACCTCTATGAATTATTTTGGATATTTATTTTTATCGCCATGGGTACCTACCATTTCTCTACTAAAAGTCTTATTAAGTCTTAAAAAGTCTTATTAACTCTTCCAGAAGACTCCCAAATCTTGCTATTAATCCGACTTAATAAGACTTATTCAGACTTTTTCCGACTTAATAAGTCTTATTCTGACTTTTTCCGACTTAATAAGTATTATTCAGACTTTTTCAGAGAAAGTAAGACTTTCTCAGAGAAAAATTTCCACAAGGGCACAAAAACGTGAAAACAATGAGTTTATTTTTTCTGCATCATGATTTGATAAAATTTGCATTTATATATATATATATATATATTATAATAAAAAGTTAATAAAGGCAGGTTCTGATATGGCAGATTAAATTTAAAAGTAAAGCTTAAGCTTTACTTTTACCTAGGTACAAATGTGGCAAGCTAAAGTTTATATTGTGGTTATTTAAGATTCTATTGTGGTTATTTAAATAATTTTTAAAGGATAAGTAAAGTATCTATTATGATATAGATTAATTGGTATACCTATATATTTATTAGATAAGGTTATTCCAAGTTTTCGACATATCTGTCAAATTATTTTCAATTTATTTTCAGTCTCTTGTGATATTATAGGGGGCATCCATTAATTACGTGAGGTGTTTAGGGGGGGAGGGGGGTCGAGTCAAACCTCACCCAATCTCACCTGGGGGGGAGGGTGGTCTCGGAAAATATCACATAATTTTTTCTTTTCGAAGGAAACTGGGATAAATTAAGTAAACAATTATAAGCAAATTGTTTTTTTAATAAATCTAATGGAATCAAGCACAGATTAACTTATTTTCATTAACCATGCATTTTAAAAAATTTCACGTGAGATTAAGGGAGGGGGAGGGCGTCGAGCAAAATCTCACGATATCTCACCAAGGGGGGGGGGGAGTCGAAAAATCGCCAAAATTACCTCACGTAACTAATGGATGACCCCTTAATTAAGGGGTAATTGCTGTTGAAAATTTAAAATCATATCTCCAAAAACAATTGATAAACCGTGCTAAAATTAAAATTGAATTTTTATTTTGAGACAGGGAACCCATGGAAAAATTGCCGAGGAATTTCGAAATGGCAAGGTTTTTTTCGTGTCGAATTCACGTGTAAATTTGACAACACAGCTAAATGGTGCAAAATGATTCACTAAATATTTTAAAAATTCAGATTCTGGGAATATTTCTAAATTTGGCTACAACGTTGATTAGTGCGAAATGACTTTCTAAAGGTATCCTGAAGACTTATTTTTAGAAATTTGGCAACACCGCAAAAACAAAAACCTAGATTCTGGAAATTTTTGTAAATTTGTCAATGCCGCGATCCTGGGTTGTGGGAATTTTTGTAAAAGAACTCAAAAAATATCAAAAAATAAAAAAAAAAGATAAAAATATTTCATAAATCGGCTTAGAAAAACACAGCGTTGCCGAGTATTTTAAAGTTAAATGCTTAATACCCTATACAGGGTATTACAAAAATAGATATTTTTAAACCAAGTTTAATACTTATAATGATAATTATTCAATCCAATTTTAAAAATCTACCACTCAAAAACTACCAATAAGAAAAATTATTTTATACTTAAGTGCGCCAATTTTTAAACAAAATAAGAAATTAAAAATGTATTTTTCTTTTCTTACCTATTTAAAAAAACTGTAATGTAAATCAGTAATAAATTAACATAAAAAAATTAAAATTTTATTTCAAAAATAAAAAAAATTCAACATAATTTAAAATATTTATTAAAACAAAAATAATGGTTCATTGATTCAATACAAATATATAAAAATATGGTTTTGCCAACTTATTGTAAATTTTCAGAATACCCAACAATCAATTTTATTAACTTTTGGACTAAAAAACTTTTACAAAAAAGTCCTAGTAAAAGATAATTCATTATAATTGTAAGGGTTATTCCAAAATAGAAAATATTCTACCAGTATGAATACTGAGTTTCTTATGTAAAATAATTTATCATTATAGACTTATTTAAGTTTTCCTATGATCTAAAATAAATTAATTTGAAATAAAATTAATGTAAACAATTTACAATAAAATATTTCTACTGTTAAACATAAATAATAAGAAAATAATTTTTAGCGAAGAAAAAATTAGTAATAAAAAATCGCGAAATTAAAATAATTTTCTTATTTTGAACGCTTAACAAATCAAAAAATGCATTTCTCCAATATCCCATTGGATTGGAATGTATAGGTGCGCGCATACTTAATAGGAAATAGGAACAATTAAATAAAACTTAACACTATATAACACAGTCGAAATTAGGTTGTAAACCCTGCTTATTTCTACGTCTATTCTATAAGCCTGGCCCAAGGATGTATAATTTCTCCGTATTGAATCGCAAACAAGGTTTCTTTCAGCCTTTTGTATACGGGTTTACTTTGGTACATTGTTGGAATTTCCAACAGTTCGTCTATGTACTCCAACGAAGATATTGGAGTTACTACACCTGCGGTTCCTGAACCAAACATTTCTAGAAGCTAAAAAAATAAATATATATATATAAATATTCAAATTTCCATTTCCATTGTCGCGACGCGACGGAACCAGGGTAAGGGAGGCTATTATATTTTGACTATTTTTTTTGGTTTTAGACTTTTTATATTTTTCTATCCCACTAAAAATGTTTCTTCTTAGAATTTTTTTACCCAGCCAAAAAAAAGTTTTTTCAAATATCCATTACTTAAAAACAAATTGACCAAATGGGACGTTTTTTTATTTTAAATGTACCCACTTTTCAGGAAAAATACGAAAACAATTTTTCATGTTTTTTTTTAAATCCCATATCACGTTGGTACATTTGGCGTTTTCAACTTAAAAAATATATAATCTTCCAAACATTTTTTTTTAAAATAGTGATTTTATTAGCTTTACTTTGTAAGAAAAATTAAAATCGCGTATGTAGGCGTTGTGGAGATATACACTTAAATGTATTTTTTTTATAAATTAATGCGCAACAATAAGCTTAACATGTATTCTAGTGAAAATGACCACAGCAAGTCCCTATATATATATTTATGTATATATATATATAAATATATATATATAAATATATATATATATATATATATATGGTTTTCCGGGATCTGCTCCGAGTTGTCAGTTTTTGGTTCTTAAAAGAACCGTATGTCTGACGACGTTTCGGTACAATCTCAGGTTTTATCTGCTGGGCTGCTGTTGCTGCTCTGCTGCAAGTTCATGCATATAACGCCAATGGAAATCTAAAGCAGCAGAGCAACAACAGCAGCCCAGCAGATAAGAGGGTACATGAGATTGTACCGAAACGTCGTCAGAAATACGGTTCTTTTAAGAACCATAAACCGACAACACAGAGCAGATGCCGGAAAACCATCAATACATATAACGCCCGTGAAAACCTAAAGCAGATTGATATCGTTAATTTGGGTGGCGTTTTGGTGGTTGTAAGAGCTGGTTTTTATGCAGTTGTTAGTCTCTATGTATCGTCTCTTGTGCTGAGGTTTCTTGGTCCTGTGTTCGATCTAGCCAAGACCCTTGTTTTTTCAAAGTCAATTTCATGGGACGTGTTCAGCTAAGAAAGATGTTTTAAGACTGCGTTTCGATGTTCTTTACGTCTTACGTTGATACGTCTATTGGTCTGTCCAACGTAGCTTCCGTCACAATTATTACAAGGAGTTTCGTACACCCCTTGTGCCTCTAACTCTATTTTGGTTTGGCGTTTGGAAGTATTTGGCCGATCTTTCTTGTGGCGGTAAATGTTATGTTTTTTGAGAACTTTGCCTATTCTCTCGGTTGTCCCTTTTACGTAGGGAAGGAAGGCCTTCGAAGTTGGTTTGTTGTTCTCGTCCTCTGTGGTATTTAACCGGCGTCGTGGTCTAAGAGCCTTTTTGATGATGGTTTTGGAGTCCGTTTTGCTGTAGCGTCGCACAGAGGCGAAAAATCCAAAATGTATGGTCGAAACTTTTTTTTAATTTTAAAATCACGTGATTTACTTTAAAAAATATAAAAGCTAAAAAATTAAATTTTCAATCGAATTCAATCGTTTTTACACTCTCAGCTCCCTTCTTTTAACTAACTAACTAGTAAACAAATCTATGAAATCGATTTTAACCTACTTCCACCCAACCGATTGTTCAAAAATTGTGAACACTTTTTGTTCTGGTGACAGAAAAATCTAGTATACTGTTTATTATATTTTATTCAAAATGGCTGCCACTTCAAGATGGTGAATTATTTTTTTCTTTGCAACCCCTTGATATGGGTATCAAATGAAAGGGGTTTTCAAGCAGAATACGTATTCTGCGTTACGTACGTGACGTCATTCTAATTTAAATATGGCGGATGTAACTAACAAACCAATTTCCTCAACTAAATTTTAAGACTAAAAAATAAATAATCGTTCAAAAAGTTAAAAAAGTATAAAGTATTGTAATTATAAATATCTTTGACTTTTTCAAATCAGATATGACGTATATAAACCGCTTAAGACCTAATTAAGAAGAATAAAATAAACACTGGAATGTATTTCCAGAAACAGAAGGTGAAATTTTAATACAAAGTAAATAATTAAAATTAAGTTATAACATTTAATATAAAAGGAATATTTTATTTTATTTATTTATTTATTAAATATAACACTGCATCATATTTTAACAAAACAGTTTTAATCACTCTGTAATCTCTTCTTCAATATTTTCATCTGAAATGACAGATTTTTTATAAATTGTAGGTTCATGCAAAAGCTTAAGGACATCTTCATCGTAGCTTTTTAATTTTTTTTGTAGTAACTTTCTTAAGCTCGAAATATATGGATCTGAAGATACTAAAATCACATTAACGACATCTTCTAAATTTTAAATTCTTGAAAATTTTCTAGCATGACTTTTACGGTACCTCTTTATATCCTTATTTCCAGCTTCTTGAGCTTCTTCCCCCAATTGACCCATTGGAAGTATTGCTTCTGCTAAAATTTTAGAGCTATGCATTAAAATCTTGTGGACTGTGGTTGGCATCCCTATGCCAACATACAGCTCCACGAACTTTGTAACTTCATTTTTAGGTTAGGGTCAACTGACATATATAAAATGTCATTATAATTAGTATTGGAGGACCTCCAATGAAGGTATATAATAATTTGACTTTTGAACTGAAGTCTTTTAAAAAACAATATTTTTTGAGTAAAACCGCAACCTTCCGCAAGATTTTTTAATTGCGACTCATAAACGACTAATGTGGGCAATAATTTATAAAAATAACTTCACTCGATCGCTTTCGATCAGCAACCAAATCCTTTACTGAATTACGTAATAATATACAAAAATAAAGCCTTTAATGAAGTCACTTTATGGATTCAAAGAAATCAAAAGTTACTTATTTTTCTTATATAAATTAATATTACTTACCTCCAGGTATGATATTCATGCCTTACACTTCAAAAAAATAAAACCAATAACTGAATAATATTTAAAGTTTGTGATTATAGCAAAAAATATAAACAATACAATGTGAAATTGTTCAATTGAAATTATTGACAACGTAATGTCATTTGGATTTGACGCATTATAATATTCATTTGACATATCTAGATGCCTTACCTACTAGCTGCAATAAATTTTGGAAGAAAATTATTGATTTGGATATTTTTAGTTTCGACCGCAAAAATTTGCATTTTCGCTTCTGTGCGTCGTTTGGAATTTCAGGTCTTCTTGTTTCTTGTGGTCATCATCCGCCAGCCTTTCGCGTGACAAGTGTCTTAATGATTGACTGCAGTTGTGACGGGTGGTGGTGAGACTGGGCGTGTGCCATTATTTATCTTGATTATGAAGACATCCAGAAAAGGTAATTGGTGTTCTTTCTCGGTTTTCATTGTGAACTTAATCTTTTTGGGAATTCTGGTCCAGGAATTTCTTCAGTTTCTCTTCTCCGTGGGTCCAGATGAAAAATGTGTATTTTACGTATACGTATACGTAGCCGTATACCGTAGCCATAACTTTGATTTTAGTGTTGCCGTTTCGATTGCTCGTACTTCTATGTCTTCCATGAATAAGTTGGCTATTGCTGGCGATATTGGGAAATTGACTTTGAAAAAACAAGGGTCTTGGCTAGCATCGAATACAGAACCAAACGTTCCATTCGTGAAGCCATTAAAATAGGAAAATGTCCAAAAAACCTCAATAAAAGAGGCGATACACAGAGAATAAGCTTAATGTTGCAAATTATTTTATAAAAAAATACATTTAGGTGTATATCTTCACAACGGCTACATGAAAAATTAAAATTAAAATTGCGTATGTATACGCAATTTTAATTTTTCTTGCAAAGTAAAGCTAATAATATCACCATTTAAAAAAAAAATGTTTGGAAGATTATATATTTTTTAAGTTGAAAACGCCAAATGTACCAACGTGATATCTATGTAAATACATTTACTTAACCATTGTTCTATGTTTTTTTACACACAAGAATTACACAGATAGTTGTCTTTTTGTACAAAACTTTTTGGAATTCAAATGAGTATAAAATATTTAAATTATTTAAACTACAAAACAAAGTTATTTATTGTAAGTAGTAAATAAAATATAAATAAATACCAGTGAATTCTTACGTATTTTCTTTTATTCATTGTCAGTGTCTTATGAATGGATTATAGGACACTATATAGAGTTATATTACCTTCATAATGGGTCACAAATCAGTAGGTATAATTATTTCTTATGTGAATTGTGGATAAATAAAATAAATCGATTGTTAAATTGGTGTAAAAAAATAAATTATTGTTAATTGTATTAAGTTAGATTTTAAATTAAGTGTAATATATCAAAGAACCATTTACATAAAATGATTTTTTTTATAAAAACGAAGTTTTTATAAGAAAATAAATAAAAGATTGGGAAAAAATTAAAACAAAAAAAGAAAACAAATTAAAGATGGCGAACTTGGAAAAATTGATGGTCTTTTCAAAAAACTAAAAAATTTCATAGTATTTGGCATCAAAAAATGTTGTTGTATTTTTTTCTGACAAGTAGTACATTAAAAGTTTTTTATGTAAACATACACATCAAATTACATTTTCATCCAATTTCTTCGGTACTATGTTTTGAGTTACCATCACCTTCTTTTGTTTTTTATAATTTTATAATGGTCGCCATAACTTATGTAGTTTGATACATCGTTGGATTCCTTGATTTTTTATCTAACCATTTAAAATTACAATATGGCGTGCATAGAAAACAAAAGATGTTGGTATAGTATAGTATAGTATCTCAAAATCTAGTAGGCGAAAATATTCACAAACTGGATGAAAATGTAGATATCAAATTACGTAAAAAATATGTATTTTTGAGTTATTTTTCAGCATTTAAATTATAATATTTCATAAAAAATATATAAACAGTGTAACAAATCCGGTTAAAACCGCACAATTAATAAAGATTTTACAGGGGTGACATTATAATTAGGTAGGCGTCCACTCTTAATATGTCTATGAATATCACCATGGAGCCTACACAAGGAGTACGAACTGAATAGGGGGAATCGACCGAACCTGCCTACTAAATTGCACAAATTACGCTTTCTTTTTGCATTTGTATACGGGTGGTTTTCAGTATCTTTAAAGATTATAATTTAATTTTGAAAAAAAAATTTTTTCTTGCTTGGCGCGTATTCGAATTTTCATTTTGTTTTCCAAGCTCGCTTTTTTAAAGCATTTTCCTTAATTTCTTTTAGGTTTTTCCGCAATGCTTTGTATTTTTTCAAATTCGACGGGGGAACTGTAGTATCCATAATTCTGTTAAAATTGATTTATTTTGGTTGAAAAGTTTTATAAAGACCAATAAAATCTATATATCTATATACCTAAATACACTGTTATAAAAAATCACATGACCGTCGCACGTTTAACATGACCGTCGCATTTCAAACGACGGTCATGAGATCTACGGTCATGTGATTTCAAACATTTTTATTTGCTCAAAATTGAACGTATCGTATTGTAAATTTTAGGTAGAATTTCCACCGGTAAACAACCGACAACAAAAAAACATAGCGAGCAATTTATAAATATTTATGTTGTTGTTTCATCACTATAGGCGGTCTTGTTAATAGAAAAAATACGAACAACTTTAACTTATCAAAATACACTACAAGAACTGTAAATATATCGCGAGCTGAACTGCACAATAAACATTAACAATAATGGCTATTCAAGACAATTTTATAACAAAAAAACCCAACATTTGTTCATTTTCTTTGGCTATTTAAAAGTTGAATTATATTTTTAGCAAGTCGCAAATATTGGATTTTGCTCGAGGGACATACGACGGTCATGTGAAACAGGAGTTTTAAACCAAAATAAAAAAATAAATTCATAAGATATATTGAACTTTTAGTGATATAAATCTATAAAAAATATGCCTGTCTGGTAAAATGTAAAAAAATGGTTTTAGTTTTAATAACCCAGGGACATAGTATTTTAAAAGTTACTGAAAACCACCCATACATGAAGTTGTAAACTTCTTCTGTAGGCTCCATTAGTTTAAAAATGTGATATATGAAAATGTAAAGCAGTATAGCTACAAATGTCGCAAAAGAGTCCATCAACAAGTTATTTTAGAAGTAATTGTAGAACAATAAACATGTTTTCCTGTTCCATTGACGTTATTTACAAATATTTACACAAAAGAACTGATTTATTATTATGTTTAATAATTATTGAAAATAATCAAAGAGGTCACAGAGAATGAATTTCGAAATTGTAACATAAGATATAGAACAAAAAATAATGTTAATGAATTCAAAAAACAATAAAACTTACTCGTTCCGATTTAGCAAGTTTGAGGACGTTGTCCATGGTAATACTTCGTTCCTCGACCCTGAATTCTTTCCACTCTTGGGAAAGTTGGATAATTGATTGCCTGGTGACACCAGGCAGAATTAGACCGTTTAGAGGTGGGGTCGCTAATACTTTATCTAAAAATAAAGATTTTTTAGATTTTTAAATTTTTATATTTAAAACATTTTTGTCAAATTAGAATTGTATTCCATTTCATTTATATTTAGAGAAAATGCTCCTATTTCTGACCCCACAGGTTTTACATATTTATTGGCTAAAATATGTTAACTTTGTTAACTATTTCATAATTTTATTCCATATCTATCACACATACTGTTATAGTGACATATATGAAACAATTTTAATAATACAAAATAGTATATTATATATATTCTCAAACTTAATATATATCAAGTTTGATAATCGCCATTTTAGTCAAGAATTTAATTAAGGCTTAAGCTTAATTAAATGAGTGTCTAGAAAAGTTTATAAACGAGTTACATACTATACTTTTTTATGACAAATACTTAATATTATCTAAAAAATAATTTAACTTCAAAATAGACTAACAATCAATATAAAAGCAGTTTTTCAAAGTAAAAGAGAAGATAATGTTTTATGGGCACTGTACGCAAAATTTTTAACGCTTTATCAATTAAATCTGGTTAACTGCACTACTACGACGAAAAGATCAGTGCAAACGTTCATATAATCTTTTCAAATATTGGCGTTAACAAATTATTCAATACATTTGTATTTTTGTAGTGAGATAATAAAATAATTTTCAAATTTTGTCTTATTTTACAAGAAAGGCACTATATTTTACCGATTGTATGGCATTTGACAACTGTCAACTAACTTAAACTTTAGCTCGTGACTAAAAACCTGTTGCTAACTTCAGCCCGTAACTAAAGCGTCATAAAGCCACAACTTGTCAATCTGTATTTAAAAGGTCACTTAGTGTCATGGAAACATGTTCGATAATGGGCTTTTAAAGGTGGGAGTAGAAAAATATTTTTAATCACAAACATATTTTTAAAAACCTAATTTAACAAAATATTATACAATATTTCTTAATCAGTACCTTGGAATTTAATTAAAATAAAAAAACCGTTAAAGAATGCACAAAATTTACGTATTTTTTAACTCTGAGAACTACCTACTTAAAAACATATCAAACTTTGTTAAAATAATGTGCAAATATGTTCTTCGAAAATTATCTGAAAATTCGAAAATTATTTGAAAGTTCGAAAATTAGTTATTTAATCCCGGCGCATTCGCCATTTTTTATAGTTCGTTAAAAAATAAAAACTTTTTTCCAACGCTTGGTTTTGAGTTATAGGTTTTCTAAAACTGTCAGAAAATGTTTTTGTCAACCATTTGTTATTAATTTTGTTTAAGATGTTTCATAAATCAACTTACAAAATAAACAACGAGTTTGTTAAATACTTAATACTTTTAATATGCCCCTTATCACGTGGTATGGTGTTGGTGCGCTATTTTTGTAAAATTTTATAATTTTTTATATGTAAAATAATCCCCAACTCTTAAATGGACATATTTGTTAACAAGATGATAAAAACAAAAACGTTTGCTTGTTTAAAAAATAAAATATAAATTAAAATTATTAAAAAAAAAAGGAAAAATAACACATAAAAACCTCGATAGAACAATTACCAAAATGGTTAAAAAACGTGGAAAAAAATTAATAAGGTACCTACCAAACATGCAATAAAAAATTGGAAATTCTAAAAAACTAAAAAAACTTAAAGAATAGGCAAAATTAAAAGACACAATTTAATCAGGATAAATCAGGATAAACGTTGCTTAATTTGAAATCATAAAAATTGAGTTATGTTTAAACACTAAAAATAAAATGAGATAAATCATGATTCAAAATAATATTATATTACAAAATATAGAACTCGCGCCACAGAGAAAAAGGGAACGTGCCGAAAGTTAGCAAACCACATACTTGAAAAATAAAATTATCTAACGAAAAGGATAAGCGAGATAAGAATAAAAAACGCCCAATACATGGCCGTAGGGAGTTCTTTAAATTGCTAGGATACTTAGAATGGGTTGTTGATATTATAATATGTAAAATATTTGGTCGACTGGAATCCAGTTCATGGTGACACTGCTGTCAATTTTTGTTCCTGTCATTATTTATCATTTTAAGTTACAGTTCATTTTTTTTATCTGGACTCGTGTTTTTTTGTTAGGTTGGTGGCTTATGCCAGTTTGACTTGATATATTTAGTATTTAAAAAATACTTTGACACTGTCACATTGACAATAATATTTATTATTGATAATTTACTTGTCAATTATAAATAAAAAGATAATTATGCTAAAAATAATAGCAACGAATTCGAATGTAAAAGCCCTTTTGAGGGCAAAACTTCATTTTGATGAAATTATGCCAAATGCCACAATGGAAGAAAAAGTACATCGCCTTATGGACATTTTTGGAGTAAAAAAGTAACGAATTTGGTTTTATAAATATTACATCACACATTATTCACCATTGGACAACATTTACGTTCACACAAATTTTTTTATATAAATTCTTTTCAAAGCGAAGATTATTATCCGCTAGGAATACTTTCTCTTCTGGACCGTAAAGCAACCTATATTTAACTACTTTTTTATATGATTTTACTCATCCAAGCACCACCAAAGCCAAATTAATTGCATTTTTCACTACGAATTTCGACAACTCAACTTGACAACTTCACAATGTAACCTAAAATAATTTATACATAACCACAATTAGATTTATAACTAGCTAAGTTTGTTTTAATCAATGCGACCAACTTGACAACTGTATTTACCAACCAAAACCCTAAATTTGCAACGTTGCCGCAGTCCAGATAAAAAAAAATTAACTCATTGTTAAAAATGCAATTAATTTGGCTTTGGTGGTGCGTAGATAAGTAAAATCATATACAAAGTATTCCTACCGAATAATAATCTTCGCTTTGAAAAGAATTTATTTAAAAGAAATTAAAATTTTATGTGAACCCACGTGAATGTTGTCCAATCATTGGACTCCAATTGTGAATAGGTATTTTGTTAAAGCCACTGGACGGTAATACTTGTAGTGGCTTAATAATGATTATAATGTATATATTGTGCAGGACTATTAATGATCAGTAACTGGCAAATTGAAAGAAGAAAAAGTTTCGTGATTATTGCATATCTTTTTCAAACCAAATGGATGCTATTTTTATAGACAGGAAAATTAACTACTAGATTTTTCACAAAAAGGTTGAACCTAACAGCAAATAAATTTTATTTGTTTTTTTATTTACCCCTTATTTTTTTAAATTTCAATATTTTTCTGCTTAGCTGAAAATAACGTGTGATTTAATATTTATAAAACCAACAACGTTACTTTTTTACTCCAAAAATGTCCATAAGGCGATGTACTTTTTTGCCATTGAGGTATATTTGGCATAACTTTATCGAAATGAAGTTCTTTTACTTTAGAATCTGATATTATTTTTGGCATAGTTATTTTTTATATCGATATTATACTCGTATAATAATTATCAATAACAAATATTACTGTCAATTTGACAGTGTCAGAGGTAAGGTCTTCAGCAGAAGATAATACTAAAAATACTAAATCAAACTGGCATAAGCCACCAACTTAATAAAAAAACAAAGTCCAAATTAAAAAAAAAATTAACAGTAGTTGTTTAATTTTTACTTTAAAACATTGGCGTCCTGAAGTATGACATTACGTTTTGAAAGGTTAGTAAACACAGTCGGACAATAGATTTTTAAAAGTTTTAAGAAAACAATGTTCTATCGTGTCCCAGCAATTTTTAAAGATCCTACGTTTAACCTAGGCAACAGCTCTCGGTATTGGTTGCCGCTTTTTTACTTTCATTCGATTACACTATTACTTGAATTTTTTTATTTTTTTATTTTTTTATTTGGCATCTCCACTGCTATCAGCACGCCCCCTTTTCCTCTGTTGTGCAAGTTCTGGGACAACCTGTATAGTTTTTCTTACCTCCGTTATCATCGATATAAAACATGAAAATATTCATGGTTCCAACTTCGGTAAGCTGGTGATCAGGCCCGTACAACCAGAGGACTTGTTGCCTGCCTCTTAGCAACGCTTGGCTTTGCACTCTGATGGTGGGCCCGTAGTTCGAACCCATTTTTCTGTCGCCGCAACCACCTGGCCACGCTCTGGTGTAGGATGGATCGGCCATGAGGGAAACGTCTTCGGCCTTTCCGGCAAAGTAGTTGCCCACAGGGCACAGTATTGTGTAGAGAAGGGCCGATTCGGATTGCTGTACCCCCAAGGTACCCTAAAAAAAATTCTTCTTTTAAAGGGTGTTTTTGATGTGTGGACATTCGTGCTATAGACTGCGGTGCGAGCTTCCTGGGAAATGGAGCGTTACTGGCCTATAGGCAGGTTCTTAGAAGGTGCAAAGTTTTAGTGGTAAAAAATAGTCTACTCTAAACATATGCTTAGAATGTTAAGAAAGTATTTGCTATAGAAAGTTCATTTAGGAATATTCCTGTTAAGCATATTTAGTTCAGTTACCTATATAATAGTAAAATATACCATGAACTACGTATAAAGGTATATACCTATACTTAAGTACCTAATTAGTAATTGTATTAAATACTAAGTAAAAAAGAAATTCGTAAAAAAATTTACGAATTTAGAATACAACATATCGATGACTTTCTGCCAAACTATCGTAAGCAACATAACTAAAATTTCGGGAATTGAAAACATTTTTTGTCTTAAAGACTGTTTCAAATTAAATATAGCCTAAAGGTTTTATATCAAGTATATAGCTTATAATTATAGCTATTTACTTGTTATAAAACCTATAGGTTATATATGGGTTAAAACAGATTTTAAAATAAAAAATGTTTTCAATTCCCGAAATTTTAGTTATGTTGCTTACGATACTTTGGCAGAAAGTCATCGATATTAGAACGTGAGCAGGGGCGTACCGAGGCACACTTTTTTGGGGGGGTGGAGACGATAAAAAAAACCAACTTATTTTTTTATCGATACTTTAGTAGTAATAGTAAAAATTTTCAGTAGTTTTATCATGAATGTAAAGTGTTGTAAAGTGTAGATAAAGAATGTCTTTACCTAGCATGCTCTTTTGAAGTCCCTATTTTTTTTATTTGCTACCAATGTAAGTGGATTATCCGGAACAGTAACAATTTTAATTTTAACCAAATTTCCACCGTGAATATTTTCCTCGTGCATTTTTTTTCTAGTCCTTGTTAAACACAGATCCACATAATGAGCATTTTAGTAGAACTCGGCCCGGTCTAGCTTTCTTTTCCATATTAAAAAAAAAATTAATTCCTATTTATTGACACTAGTTTTACTTAGCTTAGATAAGCTTGAACTAATTAATAATTTAGAAAGACAAAGCCGCGAGGCGGTGCCGACTTTGTACATGCCGCTTGTGTGAAATATAATGTCCTTTAATAAAAATAAGGTTGACCAATACAATTTTCTTGACGGTAACGATTATAGGCTCTCTAAAAATGAATTAGTCAAAAGTAACTAATTTAATAGTTAATAGTGGCTGCTTTTTCACTTGTGCCATGGTTAACCATGGAATACCATGGTATCCCAAAATTTAACGGCCAATTCTTATGTAAAAATTTTCCCCTGAATCCGAAAAAGTCGTCAAAAATTAAAAAAGTGGAACAGTTTTTGAGATATAGTCAATTTTCCATTTAATATGGAATTGACTATATCTCAAAAACTGTTCTACTTTTTTAATTTTTGACGACTTTTTCGGATTCAGGGGAAAATTTTACATAAGAATTGGCTGTTAAATTTTGGGATACCATGGTATTCCATGGTTAACCATGGCACAAGTGAAAAAGCAGCCACTATTAACTATTAAATTAGTTACTTTTGACTAATTCATTTTTAGAGAGGGAGGTTACAATAGATTAAAAATTATAATTTTGTAATATGTAGGTAAAGTTTAAAAATTATATTTCATTTTATTTATTGTGATGGGTTGGTTGGTAGGGTAGGTATACCCAACCAACCGACCCAAATACTATAGATTTTGCCAACCGTGTTTGGATTTGGAACCAACTGCCAAGACTTTGGGGGGGTGACTCCCCCCCCCTACACCCCCCTTAGGCCCGGCCCTGAACGTGAGTATCTGACATATTTTGGAAATATTCTCAAAAGGTTCCTAGAAGCTCCATAAGAAACCTTCTAAGAACATTCCAAAAACGTATTTTTTAAATGTTCTTAGAATGCTTTTTAGGAAGGTTTTAAGAAGCTTTTTAAGAATTTAATTGCATCATTAAAAGAGTATCTATTGAATGTTTTAAAAGTCCCTAAGAACATTCTTAGCAATAAGGGAAGGTTCTAAGAATATTGGGGTTAAAAAAAATTTAGAAATACAAAAAATTGGTAAATATAAATATAAATATAATATAAATATATATATATAAAATACAAATCCAAAAATATACAAATCCATACATTAATATGTATGGATTTGTATATTTTTGAATTTGTATTTTATATTTATATTTACCAATTTTTTGTATTTCTAAATTTTTTTTAGCCCCAGACAAGTTTACTTAACCCACCATAATGGTGGGTTTATGCAGACTTAAGACTTAAAACTTAACATTTAAGACTTAAGAATTAAAAATTAAGCGAAAATTTTGTGGCGTTCATGCAGCATTTATCTTAAGACTTAAAACTTAAGGAGTAACCAATCAAAATCGATAAAAATATCATGTGTTGGTACTACCAACATTAAAATGACAATTAACATTGAAATTTTACCGTTGTGTTTTGCGAATGCGTATATTTTTGTTTATCAACGTTTTTTATAATCTGTGTTTACTAGTTTAATCTAAAATGGATCCAAACTATCTATCATTTTAGCACAGTAATTTCAAGAAAAACATGAAACACGAATTTTAATTTTCAGTTACAACAACCATAGAAAAAGAAACTTATGTTCTGTGAAAGAAACAGTTTAATTTAAAATTCCCTAGTTAACGCTTGCGCAAAATGCGATTTCATGTAAGAATTAAAAATTAAGACTTAAGAAAGATAAAAGTTTATTATCTTTCAAGGTCATTTTCTTAGTTCTTAAATGTTAAGTCTTAAATGGTGCATAAACGACCTTAAAGGAAATCAATGAAATAACCTAACTTTTAACTTCTTAATTGTTAACTGTTAAGTCTTAAGTTTTAAGTCTGCATAAACCAGGCATTAGTTTATTTACTAATGGATATTTTCCTATTTTATATATTGTATTTTTTTTCGTGAACACACTTATTATTATTATTATTATTATTCCATTATTCCGGGTCATATCTTCTTAGAAGATTCCTAAAATCAAATTTGCCATCAGGGAAGTCATGTGCGTGATATTAATGAGAGTGGGGGGTATCCATCTATGGATATTTTTTTATTTGAAGAGCTACAAGGTTGGTTAAGTTACAGAAAAGGTTGCGTAATTACAAGCCTATTAACATGAAATATATAAATTGGAAAAAAAGCCAGCGGTATTTGAAAAAAACTAAAAAACTTTCAAAATCAAAAATCGTTATAACTTTGTTATTCCTGAAAATGTTGAAACCAAGTAAGTTTTACATGTAAACATACACATTAATATACATTTTTTATCCCCTTTCTTCGCTACTATGTTTTTAGAAAACAAGGTATGTTCTAGCGCATCTGTTTCCACCACTCCATCAGATTGGCGAAGAGGTGGGAGCACCCAGCCGCCGCCATATTGACTATTTCTATTTTAATAAACATGTCACTTCGCAGCTTTTGTCTAATTCAACCCACCTTGTAAGTTTAAAAGTTTTAAAGTTTTCATTATACATTATTATACAAACTATACATAAAGAGTACTAATATACGAGAGGAAAGGCTGAAGTTCGACAAATTTTGTTCAATTGCACAGCTAAATCGCGTTATTTTTGTTTTGCGTTGCGTAAAAAATGCAAAACTTTGGGTATAGTACTCGATTTCGATTTATTATTCCTTATATCATTGATTAAGAAACTCAACGCTTATATAGTTAAGTTATTGTGTAAATTTTATCTAAGTGGTCATGGTTTATAATTGTAAATAAAATTAAGCAACTAAATCGTTGCATTTTCATGTTTTGCCAAAGCATCCCAATACGGTACGTATAATTGTCACATATCAGAGTGCGTAATGAAAACTTTACTTAATATATTCTATATTTAAGTTTGGGCATTTTTAAGAAATCCAACAAAAAATAATTGTTGTACAAACATAAAATCGATTTTTTTTTTATTTGAGTTCGCTAAAAAACGCCGATAACTGCATTTTAAACGACAAAATATACCTCCGAAATCATGGCAACATAATATAATACCGGTTTCTTGCTATTTTACTATTGAGTGGAGACTTTCGTAATAAACGCTTTTAATAATGCTAAATGCTGTTTGAATTTAGACGACTTGTTTTATGATTTTTACTGAATTAAAATGTTTACAATTTTCACGTAAATCATCACTAAAATGTGTATTTATTGTGTCTAATGGGTACAATTTACATTTACAGGGACTGTATGCAATTTATTTCTTCATTCGTATTTTCATAGATTATTGGAAAATCGGTAAAATCTCAACCCAGAATTTACCCTCGAAAAAAAACCCAACAACACAACAAATCGTGCCACGATTTTTTTTCGATATTTTTAACATTTTAAGGCTTTATTCTCAAAAACACGTTGTAACGTTTGTGACATACGCGTTTGACAGCTGCTTATTAAAAGCTGAATTCTGCTGACGATGATAACGGCCACGTGGTGGCGCTACTAGCGATGTTTCTTTAGCTTATAAGCTTGACAAAAAGCAACTTTTTAATTATAATAATAAAAGTTTACAATTTTTTAAAACTTACTTAAAAGTAAAAGTTTTACTGTAAAACTATAATATAATAATATGGGGCATTCCATTCCAAACTTACCTATTAAATGAGTTTGCATCTGCGATTTTGATGTGTGTTTGTAGGTATTTAAAGATACTTCCATGATTTTTAATTTTTTTTCTGGTAATGGTTTTTAAAATGTCGAATTTTCAAAAAGTTGACGATTTTTTTTAATCGTCTAAACTTTTTGAAAAATTGATCGATTAAGATATTTATAATTTTTTTTTATTCGTTTTAATTTAGTTTTTCAAAAAAAATTAAACAACATTCTGGTGTCATCAATGATGATTGTTTATTTTTTCATAAAAAAATTGTCAAAAAAACTTTTAGTTTGTTTTAAATTTGTTTGTTAAATTTATTTATAACACCTTAAAAGAATACAAGATTCCATATCAGGTATTAAATATTTATAATTAAGAGTTACAATTCAAAATATCACAGTAGTATCACAATTTTACTTTTATATTTACATATTATTTCTTGAGCCATATAGGTAAATTTTTTCAAGTTTTGTTGGTTTTTGACTTTTTCTGGGAGATTGTTAAACCATTTGAGGGCAGTCTGAGACTCTGAGTAACTCTTTTTCTTCCAAAATTTGAAATTGTAGATGGTAATTAACTTGTTGATATATCAATAACTTCATTTTGTTTTCTTTTATCTATATCTATACAATTTCTACTAAATTAAAAGTGGGAACTTCAAAATTGCATTATGTAATTACGAATAACGTTTTTTAACTTCTTTAGAAAAATTACATAAATTATTTAAACGACAGAAAAATAAATATAGTTTTTATAAGTAATGAAAATATGGCTTAAAAAAGTTCAAAATTAAAAAAAAAAAAAATTCAATACAAAATTTAATATAAAACTTGCATCTTCTAAAATTTTTAAAGTAATATTCCTAGTGCTCTTTAACAAGATAATCAGGCCAATTCACTGACATGCGTCGTTAACGTTATATAGCCATTGGAATTTTTTTTAAAACCCAATTAAAAAACAAATAATTAAAAAAAAAATACAAATCGATCAATTTTTCAAAAAGTTATGGACCATTTAAAAACAAATCTCAAAAACAATTGGCCAAAGAAAATCTAAAAAAATTAGGAAAGTATCTTTGAAATCATACAAAAAAATATTCGAATTTCAGAAAAATCGCAGGTAAATATGTCATGGAATTCTCTATATATAATATAATATACAGGGTTTATGGTAAATGGCAGAAGAAATTGATTTTTATAGCAATTATAATCCGATTAAAAATATTTTTCTGAATTACTTTCAGCAAAATTTCTCCTTTATTTCAAATGGGATACCTCCTATAACTTATAACCTTTTTTGTTATTAGGTTTGCTGGTATGTGGTTGTAATCTTGAAACATTTTTTAAAGATTTAATGTCAACATATCTAATATTTTCTAAAAATTACTTGAGAAAACCCAGGGTTAATTTAGCTAACTGAAAATGTTAATAATCTTTTTTTATTTTTAATGGAATGCCATGTATGTTTTTACATAATTAAATATAAAATTAAAATACCTTTCGATTGGTTTGACTATTCCCTATACCTAAAGTTAATAATAGCAAAGATATTAATTTCAAATTAATAAACAAGTATCATGTCAAAAAACAATTAAGCAAATAATATCACTGCAGTTTTGATTATAGGCCCGCTACATTACTACATTATTTATTTGTGGATTTTCTATTAAAATAATAGCACTGACCATAATTTAAAAACACTAACTGTCCTTATTGACATTTCCGTAACACTGTGTGGTTTTTAAACAGAAAACCGAGTACAATTAAAAAATATCTGTAACAATTTATGATTACAATTTGTTCTTATGTGGGAAAATAGTTGTACATAAGAAAAATATATTTTTTTTATCTAGAACCGCGTTTTTAAGAGTTAATAGTATTTTAGACCACCAGTATGAAATTGTTTCAATGTAACCCCTGATTTTTGGACAGATAAAAATCTTTTTTTTATCTGGGCTGCGGCAACGTTGCAAATTTAGGGTTTTGGTTGGTAAATACAGTTGTCAAGTTGGTCGCATTGATTAAAACAAACTAAGCTAGTTATAAATCTAATTGTGGTTATGTATAAATTATTGTAGGTTACATTGTGCAGTTGTCAAGTTGAGTTGTCGAAATTCGTAGTTAAAAATGCAATTAATTTGGCTTTAGTGGTGCTTGGATGAGTAAAATCAAATAAAAAAAGTAGTTAAATATAGGTTGCTTTACGGCTCAGAAGAGAAAGTATTCCTAGCGGATAATATCTTCGCTTTGAAAAGAATTTATATAAAAGAAATTAAAATTTTTTGTGTACGTAAATGTTGTCCAATGGTGAATAATGTGAAAATAATGTGTGATGTAATATTTATAAAACCAAATTCGTTACTTTTTTACTCCAAAAATGTCCATAAGGCGGTGTACTTTTTCTTACATTTGGCATAATTTCCTCAAAATGAAGTTCTGCCCTCAAAAGGGCTTTTACATTCGAATTCGTTGCTATTATTTTTGGCATAATTATCTTTTTATTTATAATTGACAAGTAAATTATCAATAATAAATATTAATGTCAATTTGACAATGTCAAAGTACCTATTTAATTAAATTCTTTAGCAGAAGTACCATTTTTAAATACTAAAAATACTAATTCAAACTGGCATAAGCCACCAACCTAACAAAAAAACACGAGTCCAGGTAAAAAAAATGAACTGTACGTTTAAATAATAAATCAGGTAAACAAAAATAAAAGTTTAATAACTAAATGATTTTGTCTATCAAGAGAATTGATTTTTAATTTTTTGTTCAATGGTGTTATTTGATCAGTTTTTTAAAAAGGTTTGACGTTTTAAAAAATATATATTTAAGGACGACAGTTACTCACATCAATTCCAATCAGAGTAGGCCTGATGTACAGGCTGCTGCCAGTGGCGTGCGGCACCCACTCTTGATCGACCTGAATCAACCTGTTCAGGCATTTGATCAACTCGTCACCGTCAAAAGTTGGCAACCCTGAACTTTTGGCGGACGCGTTCATGCGTTTCATGTTCAGGTCGGGCCTGAAAATACGGATTTTCCCGTCTACGCCTCTGTAAGCTTTCATGCCCTCAAAAAGCTAAAATCAAAAAAAAAGAAATTTTGAAGATGTATGATGTAAACGTGTAATATTTATTTCATTGCATGTATGTTTACAATATGATGAAATTTAATTGAAATATTTCCAAATATAATTATCGATTATTTATTGTGTTTAGATAATACCGGAAAACACACTTTTTTGATGAAAAAATGAACTGGTGGGTCAAGAACTTTATTTAAACGATTTTATGAAAAAAATTATATTGCATGATGATTCAAAACAATACTCTTTCTTTTAAAATCAACTGTTTCTTTTAACTTACTTCAACTGCATAGTGCAAAACTTTGGCGGCAGGGTGCAAGGAAATATTTTCGAACGGTATTATCACAGGTCTTTGCCAACCGCCGAGTTGCTTGTGGTAAAATACTTTGAGCATGTGATCACTGAAAACTTGACCAAACTGAACTTCGCTAACGTCTGGTTTGGATCTCAACTGACTGGGGTCTGCCAAGGTGGTCCTCAAATCTGAACGCTAAAATTTAGGATTATCCTTTTACAAAACATTGAAGTAATAACTATCCAGTAGTAAATTTACCGTTGGTTCATGAACGTTAAACTAAAGTGGGCTCAAGTTGGAACCTTGAGGGATACCGCAAGCATTGCTCGGGTAGTGAAAGTTTGAAGGTATGGTTTTGGGGGTTTTATTGTGTACCTTAAAATATTCATTTGGTTCTCCGTAAGGCTCGTAGGCCCTGGTTTCGTCTAAGCCCAATGATTCCTTGACTTTCAAGTGACAAGCCCTAGCAGCTTGCTTCAGTTTGTGTTGGTGTTTCAAGATCCACTTGCAAGCGCACTAAAAAGGTGTAAAAATAAGATTATTAAACACAAATTAGATAAAATTCTTATAAAATGATCCGCTTTATATAGCAGTTAAAAATTATACCTACCTAAACAAAGAATATTTATTTGTTTCTTCTATGATAAATAATATTATTTTCTATTTCATAATCTTTTTTTATATGATTTTTTTAATATTATTTAATATATTTTTAATGGTCTAGAAGTTTTCAAAGTGTGCCGCGGAAAAAGAAACCTTTTTGTCGAAAACATTTTTTTTGGGGCGTCGAGTAAATAAATCAAACCTGTAAAGGCGCCGTAATTCGTAAAATCACCATTCCAAAAATGACATTTTTAATGGAACTATGAAAAAAATTATTTTAATCAACACCCATTTTATTTCTTAACTTCAACCGGTAGCCGAAATTTTACCTCGCCCAAGGGCTAAAGTTAGTTTTAAATAAAAAATTAAAAAAAAGTGAGGTTAACACTGCTTGACAGTTGTCAGATGTCACATAAAATATTAAATAAAATTGGCTTTAAATTATTTGTGGTGGTTGAGTAAAATATTGTCTGCGACTATTGGTCAAACGAGGAGACTCTGTACGCTCCAGGAATTTTCTCTTTCTCTCACTAGTAGCACAATATTCCTATTATTATTTGACTTAAAATGTTTCGACAATTTTTTTTGTAAATTTGTATTTTATAATATTATCAATAAAATGCTTTATTATCTATCTATCTAAACAATATTGCGTCTTTAAAAATTACTTCCTCATGTTGATATTGGTTTTACAACTAGCTGTACCCACGGCTTGCTTACGTGGTTGTATGGAAATATAAAATAAATAAAAATAAAAAAGGCGCAAAAAAGTAGCATATTACTCTCCGGCCCGGTATAATACTGGTTGTCAGAAAAAATGCGTTTTTGGTAAAATTATAAAAAACGCTAAACTTTAAAATTTCAAAATTGTTTGTCTAGAAATGTTGTGCAAAAATTTATTTTTAGATGAAACCTTGTAAAAATTAATGAACCTTTTAATAGGTCATCTTAATTTTTAAAAGTTTGTAGAAATTTTTAGATAAAATTTATTTATTTTTTCAATCAAATTTTATTTATGATGATGTAAGTCCTCAGTACCTCAGCAACAATTGAGAAAAATTGAGATAACTTTAATTATTATTATTATTATTAATTGCAATTTGGTTAGTTTTTTGATAACAAATAATTGTGAAACAAGAGAATGCAGAATCGAACTGACGTATTTTAGTATAAAAAGTGATGAATTTATTAAATAAAATAAAAAATTTATTTATTAATTTATGTCCCACCCTCACTGAAATTGAGACATTATACGCTAAAAACAATGAAGAAAGTAAGCTATTGTTACTCTAGTTATTATATTATATTAAAAGAGCTAGTTAAAAGGTTCTAAAAGATAAATTAAATATTTTGTATCCAATTTTTTTTTAATATTCTTTATTTACCAGCTTTTAAAACCTTACTTCAAACTTTATCTATACGATTCTGTAAGAATTCTTGGTGTAATAAATAATTATCAATGTTTTTGAAGTTTGTTTGTGTTGATGGTGGAAATAAATATTTGGAATCAAAAGTTTATCAGCTTAGTGAGCCAAAACTGGTTAAGTCATTATCAAAATTGCAAAAACTTATTTTTTTAAGCGTATAATAATTTTCATATTATAATACTCACAAGCTTTTGTTTGTCCGCAAATTATTAGATATACACCGCCGTAAATAATGAAAATACTTTGAATTTTTTTTTTAAAAGGGTGGTTCCATCTATCGCGTTTAGCTCTAAATCAGCAAAGAAAATGTAAACTTACAGGTCACTGTAGAATAAATTTATGTACATAACCTATAATATAATATATGTCAAACGTCAAACGTGACAAAATGCCGCAAACTCGATGTTCAATGTAAGTATAGAATTATTAAACGCTTAAAAAATTGTATAGAAGACACAGCGGAGAAAGCATATTAACTGCCTCAGAACACTGAGCTCGGCTTTAAATAAACCGTTTCTCAGCCTGTTGGATAATGTACTATTTTTAGATACATTTCGAATTGAAATTAAATTACTTATCAAGCGCAAAAAATAATAGGAAGTCAATTGTGACTGAATGAATGAATAGTAAAATATAGGTTGCCAGTCATATTTTTAACCTCTTTTTAATAAATTAAGAATTACCTGTTTGGATGTAATCACGGACATATTGAAATATCACAAAACACTAACACTAACTAATGTCTGCACTTATTTGTAAAATGTAACTAAATTGTCTTCTTGCGTTGAACTTTGAAGTTGTTGGTTTACAGCAATAATTAGTAATAGCACCAATATCTTGTTGTTCGAGTAATTTATAAATTCAAATGGGGAAAAAAGCGCGTTATCGGATTTAACAATAAATAGCGCTACTGGGTGACGCAACTATAGCGCGCAAGAACAAAAATGATTGGAAATTCGAAAACAATATCGTTCGAAGCCTATAAACGAGTGATCGGTTTTATGTCGAAATAATTTTATGATAATAGTAAGGGTCGCGACCTTACAAAGCTTCGCCTTATCACATGTCGTTATGATTCTTTCACGTACGATTTTTGTTGCGTCATCCCTCTGAAGATGATGCCCAAGGGGCGTAGTCAAAATTTCGATTTTCACAATATGGTTTGCTTTTGATATCGTATTATGAAAGTATATTCTGTATTTAAAAACATTTTTGTTAAGTATGGTACGTATTTCAGTCAAAATTTAAATTACCCTAAAAATTGTTTTTTTTTGTTTATGATGCCATATTGCCATATGACACATATTTTTTATTTCAAAATTATATATGACATTTTTAAGTATGATTATTTAAACTACAAAAATTGATATTTATGCAGCCGTATATAAATAAAATAATAAATATTGAATAAAAAAATTAAATTTTTTAAATTTAATATTTACAACAAGATCCAATGTAGAACTTTTCCCAACAAACATTAAGAATTTGTTGAATCTTATTATATTTATAAACGGTTGTATAAGTATTGATTTTCCTAGTTCTAAAATTTCAAAAATTTAGTACAGAATTTTGCATATAATTTTTAAATTTTAAAATAAAAAAATACGTCTTTTTTTCATTAACGAAAAAACAATATTTCAGGCTGTTTTAAATTGTGATTTGGCGAAAAATGGCCCATATCATATTTTATTGCGATTTTTTGTGCGTTACCTAAAGCCCAAAGCTAGTACTAGCTACAGCTAAGTACTATAGTACTTAAAGCTGTAGTACTCAAGTTGTTCTCAAATTTTATACTTTTTTATGTACTTTGCTCCACACCCAAAAGTACCACTTTGACTTTTGAATACAAATGTCAAATGTCATACAATTGTTAAAATAAAGTGCCGTTGTTGTGAAATAATAATGTGGAATAGTAATTACTAATATACTAATAATAATTTAAATTAATATTTTTATTTATTTCTTTATATTATTTACATAACTTTTTATAGCCAACAAAACAGTTCTTAACTGGTACCGCTAGTATATTAGAGATAATGCAGATAAGTAGATAATTAAATAATTTTGAAAAATATATAAATCAAATCTGACATCTGTCAAATTGTTAACCTCACATTTTACCTATTTTAAATGTTAATATAGTTGCCTTCTCCCAATTTAAAACCCGATTGGTTCAAATCACAGTGAATATTGAAATCGGCCAATCACTGATGCCTAACAACGTGAATAATGAGTTCATTATTCCCGTTGTTGTGCAGGAAAGTTATAATGTTTATCATTATTCACAACAAAAAATATTATGCAATAGGAGTAGATAAATTATTTTATTGCTTTGTTAAAAATGTATTAAACCGGTAATAATAAAATCTATGTTAAAAATTGCTTTCTGAACGGGACGTCAATAGTTTATTGCACTATGAATACAGCAAAATATTTACATAAAACGAAACAATTAAAATTTACGATAAAATTATGTATATTCAAAATGATATGAAAACTTTTATCGCGAATAAATTAATCAAAAATGTATCGATTATTAAATAAGATAATAAATTATAAAAAATGCAGTTTCTTAGATTTTGTTATTAAAAATATTAAATACAAACAGGATAGTTTATCGAAAAATATGATTCGGTTGTCAAATAAAATGTTTGCTTCTTGAGATAAAGGGTTTAAAAAAATATTTTAAATAATTTGCTATAAATTATACATTATTTATTTTATTATTTATTTAAAATAACAACAATTGTACAAAAAAATAATAAAATACATACATATATACTACTATAATTTTGATATTTCTGATAAATTTTTAATTAGGAATACTTATAAAACAAAATTATCTATTTAAAGCTTAGGAATGCTTTTTTTTGTTTTTGCAAATTAATTATACATGTATGTAAATAAAGACAGCGAAATTCGACCAAATTTCACTACAATAAATTTTGACAAACTGGTAAAATTATAATGATATAACCTGGATATATAATTATAACTTTATATTTTATATTTAACAATTTTTTTATAAAACAGTTCCTATATGCATTTTTAATATTTATATTTATATGTTTAATATTTTTTTAATGAAGCAAATTTACAAACGATTAGTAATCAACAAAAATCCAGTTTTAGTCATTTATTTTGATTTCTAAACTAGTTAGTTTTTACATCCAACATTGTTGCAGCAACAAAGGTATCTGCATATTTATAACTATATATTAAAATTTCAATTGAAAAAAAATTCCGGTATAAATAATAAATTGGCCGCATACTATGCAGTGCATAGAAACACGTGTATTTTTTAATTTAAATGCATTATTATTTTCTTTACTTTTTTAATTCTTGCTATCAAGGTAATAAACCACCAAAAATATTGCGGCATTGGCTTTTTAAATGATATGTGGCACTACCCAGTTTTAATATTAGTATACGAGGTGTGTTCAGAAAATAACGGGAATTGTTAAATTTCGCGGGTTCGGAGGGTCCGGTTGTGATAAAAAATATTTGTTGGTATACATGCCCCCAAAGTATGATAAAAACTTTAGCTGTTTTCATTGTTTACTTGTTTACTCTGTGGCAGCCGCTAAAGTTAGCTAAAGTTAGACGTGTTTTATAAGCTCGGCGATTTTACGTTCGTTATAGAAATGGATCAAAGAATTTGTATCTAATTTTGCGTAAAAAATTAAATAAATTCTGTGAAATGCTAACAAAGGCCTATAGTGAGTCTGCTATAAGTAAGTGGTATAAGAGTTTCCCAGATGGACGTGAAGACGTTGAAGATGACGAATGCCCCGAACGCACAAGCACATTAACAACCGATAAAAACATGGAAAAAGTGGAAGAAATGGTTATAAACCATCAGAGAAGTAGCTGATGATGTTGGTATATCGATTGGCTCATTCCATGAAATTTTTTCAAATGTTTTGGGTATGAAACGCGTGGCAGCAAAATTTGTTCTAAAATTGTTAAATTTTGAACAACATTTTTGGCCAAAAACAATACTGTAATGATGCCCCAGCCTCCATATTCGCCAGACATGCCTCTGTCTGACTTTTTCCTATTCCCAAAAATAAAGAGAACCTTAAAGGGCCGTCGTTTTGCAAGCATAGATGACATTAAAAGCGCATCGCTGAAAGAACTAAAGGCTATCCCAAAGATCGAGTTTTAGAAGTGTTTTGAGTATTGGAAGAAGAGCTGCCACATGTGCATAATATCCAATGGTGACTATTTTAAATGCGACAACATTAATGTAGACGAATAAATAAATATTTGTTTCAAAAAACGAAAATTCCCGATATTTTCTGAACACACCTCGTATTATAGACCCTCGTATTATCGCCGAGCATACATCTCACTGCCGAGGCGATAGCCGAGGCGGTAGATTGTGTCCTCGGCAATTAATAAGCTTTTGCCGGCGTGTTTTATATAATATTTTAAAGCATTTAATTAAGTAAGTTTTTAAGATTCTGTCACATCATTTTTAGATTAATGATAACATCTTAGGTTTATTCCTGTACGGAGTTTAATATTAATTTGACTTTTGAACTAGTAGTAATATAGACTTATAAGTCATATAACATAAAAATTATTGTACGCTTGAAAAAAAAAATTATTTATTATTATTTAATTTTGGGCATTAAATAAAAATATTGTTGTTAATATTTACACATAACAACGTACAATAGAAATTTTGTTAATATTTTTTTATCAACTGTTCATTTATTTTAAATTTGCAAAAGTAAATATTTATTACAAATTTTGCAATAAATTTCAAACGAGTCTTGCAAGTCTTTTTCTTAATATAGCATCAATAATACTAGGTAATAAAATTAAACAAAGATATTTGTATTTTGATATAAAAAAATAACTAAATTAGGACATTTAAATAAACAATTATTTATATTAAAAGTTATTACCCAATACAATTTTTGGAAATATTTTTGCAACAATTGAAATTAACAATATTATTTTATTACACACAATGTATATTTCTTAAATTCCTGTTTACTGTAAAATTACGCAGAAAACAAATAAAACTAAAAATAAAATACAAAACAATTGTTTTTAAAAATCAATGCCAAATACTATATTTTCAAATTGTTTTTCCAAATTATAATACAATTTAAATTCTATAAAACAAACTTAAAATTTCATGGTATTTTTTTGGTAATTTCGGGGGAGGTACATACAGGGTGTCCCAGAACTCGCGCCACAGAGAAAAAGGGGGCGTGCCGATAGCAATGGAGATGCCAAATTTAAAAATAAAAAATTTCTAGGTAATAGTGTAATCGAGTGAGAGCAAAAAAGCGGCAGCCAATACCGAGAGATCTCGCCTAGGTTAAACGTAGGAGCTTTAAAAATTGCTAGGAGACGATAGAACATTGTTGTATTAAAAACATTTAAAAATCTTTTGGCCAACTGTATTTACTAAGTTGTCAAAAGCTTTTAAAAAATGAGGTTATTAATCTATGACTGATACTTCAGAACGCCAATGTTTTAAAGTAAAAAATCAAACCAGTTGTACTTTATTTAGCTTTTTTTGCGCCCACGCTCCCCATAAATAGTTATCATTTCGGTATAATCATCAAGGAAAAATTATTTATAATAACTTAATTTATTACCTAATACAATATTAATCATAGAGGACAAAAGTAAAGATTGACAGCATTGTCAATAATAACTTAATTTATAACCTAATATAATATTAATGACAGGAGTAAAGATTGACAGCAGTTTTACAATGAATTAAATTCCAGTGGACCAAATATTTTACATATTTTTTATTATCAACAATGCAACCTAAGTATCCTAGCAATTTAAAGAATTCCCTGTGGTGATCTATTGGGATTGGCTATCGTTTTTTATTCTTATCTCCCTTATCCTTTGCGTTGGACAATTTGAATTTTTAAATATGTGTTTCAAATTACTTTCGGTACGTTCCCTTTTTCTCTGTGGCGCGAGTTC